TGGAAACAACCCAGGTGCCCATCAACAAACGAATGGATAGAGAAGCTATGGTATATTCACACAATGGAATACTACGCTGCATTGAAAAACAAGGAACTCATTCAATCTCTGTAAATGTTCATTAAAATTATAAAAAGAAAATATGACTCCCAGGTTGAGACCAAATAACCCACTCTGCTGGGAGGTCTAGTGGTGCAGTCCAGAGTGTTGTTCTGTTAACCTAAAGAGTTAACAGAAAAAATAAAAAAATAAAAAAAAGAGTTAACAGAAAGAGTTAAAGAGTCTCTGGCAGTTCATCAGAAGCTCTGAAAGCGGAAGATGGGCAATCTATTCCCAGGATATTTACAGCTTTGGAAACCTGCTAGGAGCTATGAGTTGGTTCCAACTCACTGGCAATGACTTTGACTGTCTTGAGTCTTTTAACAGGCCAGTCCTTCGAAAAGGACATTAAGCTTGGTAGAGAGGGGGTCAGCAAAGGAGAGAAAAAACTCAAGGAAGGACACAGTGACTGTGCAACTGCATCCCATAATTTAGGTCAACTGACCTCTTGTAGGTAGGGGTAGTCTGAGATGGAGGTGATGGAACCTGACAACAGCCTTCTGATAAAATCAAGGTGCTTTTCTTGGAGGTCAGGCATCAGCAGCCAATTTAAAATGGAATCCATTTCAACCGTACTGTGATTAGACAGTATTGGTGAAATGATGAAAGAGATACTGTCATGAATCATCAAAGTGGAGATACTGAGTCCAGAGCAAAGAGAGCTGTTAGAAAGCTCATTCATTTACCCAACTCTATGAAACTTTGCATTCTAAGGAGACTCGTTGTTATGTGTAGAGTCGCTTGTGACTCATAGTGACCCTATGTACAACAGCCCTAAACTCTGCTCTTATCCTGTGACAACCTTATTGTCTCTGACACACCTACCCCCATTGCCCCAGTGACAGAATCAATCCATTTCGAGGGTCTTCCTCTGCTGCGCCATCTGTCCACCTGCCCAAGCATGGTCCCTCTCCAAGGACTGATTCCCACCTTGTAATATGTCCAAAGTATGTCAGGCAGAGCTTCAACATCTTTGCCTCCAAGGAGAAGTCTGGTTTCACCTTCTCCAGGACGAACCTGTTCTCCTAGCAGTCAATGCTCTTCTCCAGCACCACAGTTCAAAGGCCTCAATTCTCTATCACCCTACTCACTGTCCAGCTCTCTGACACATAGTAAGCAATTGTGAAGACTATGGCCTGAGTCAGGTGCACCTTAGTCTCCAGACTGATGTTGTAAAAATTCTTGTCCCTAAAAAAAAAAAAAAAAAAAATTCTTGTCTCTAGAAACATGTCGTACAGTGAGGAAGGTGGACGTTCTATCGAAAGTCTGATGATAGAACCCTCATACTGTCTAATCTGTCTACACTTGTTCTCTTATTTTCTTCCTTTTCCCAGAAGCCCACCTGAACACAACTGCTCTCAGCACACCCTGGACTGTGCAGGGTAGTGTCTCAGAACATCAAGTTGTTGAAAAAAAGAGAGTATTATTAACTAGGAATTAACTGAAATGTGTTCTAAGGCTTAGAAGCCACTCTCCTGTGTCTTTTTAAAGAGTGATTTTGCAAATTCTGACTGCTTCTAAGCAAACATTTTCACTAAAGCGCAGGAAATATAGCTAAGACTGGGAGGTCTAGGCACTCAAGAAATAAGTCTTACAATGAAAATGAAAGTGGTATCTTGCTCAAATCGAGCCACTAAATTGTACCCTAAACTGGCTCTGGGACTTTGATCAGGGCCTCCCTGTGGGTTGCCATTGTGGCTCCAAGCTTCACTCTCCAAGGTCAGTACTACTTTGGAGAATCTGGTAAAATCAAGTTCCTGAGTGAACAAAGGAGAGGAGTAGATGCACAGACCACCGTTAGAGGCTGTTTCCTAGTTCTTAGGAGGCTAGGCTGTCCTTGTTTCCCAGTCTCACATCTTCTGTCTCACCGCTTTATATTCTTACGTCCCTGGAATTCACATCACACTCAACTCCTGGTGTCTTAAAGGATCAAAACTAGAACTCCCACCTTTGGGGGAAGAAACTGTGATAAAAGTCAGAAATACCAATTATCATCACTAGGAGACAAATGACTATTTCTAGACAGTGTTTCTAATGAGGTTAGCACATTAGCTTTATCGGTCAAGCTTAAAACACACACATCTGCTTTAGGTTCACTCCATGAAGTTTTGGGGCTAGGGAAAAGCTGCTCATTTTTTGGTACAGCTTTACATTTTTGCTTTATTTCTAGGAATATAAGTTTCCAGATCATACTGGCTTCAATAATACGAAATTACCAGGTGTTCTACCTAAATCCTACAGTAAACTCCAAATTCTTGCCACTGAGTCAGAACCGGCTGAGAGTGGACCCTCCAGCGGGTTTTCGGAGGCTGTGAATCACACAGGAGAATGCCCGCCTTTCACCCTCAGAGCTGCTGATGGATTCGAACCACCAGAGAGGCACTGTCTTTGGGTTAGCCACTCAACTCCCTATGGACCAGGCCATCAGAGCTCCAATCCTACAGTAAAACCTAGGAATGCTGGCACCTGGAGTAAGGCAGAAAGCTATTAAAAGAAAAACTCAAGTATCTTCTACTAACATAGAGCAAAAGAAATGTGGTAAGACAGAAATGTCCAAGGGGGAAAATGAGCAAAACATTGAGTTCACTCACTGAGTTCTGGCTCCCACAGGTTTCACTGTGTATACTACTTGCAACGAGAAACTATCAATGTAAGAATGAAGTCTAGTTGGGCCACAACTTGTTTGTAGTGTACAATAATCTCACGTCCTTTTGGTTATTTCTAGTACTGTATTAAGTGTGCTCTGGCGGGAGTCTGTAAGGAGTACTGCTGTTTATCCAAAGGTGGGAGGTATGTCTCTCTCGTGGGTGGTCTGACTACCTTGTTGAGTGGCAAGTAGGACAGATAATTTCTTCCTATGTATTTATTGAATGCTTGAGGTCATCCAATAAGCACCGACAATCAATGAATCAGTGTCAATTTGAAAGACCTCACTGCCCAAGGGTCTACTTAATTGGCACAGGAGAAAGTCAGATGGCTATGGGTTTGAATACTGTGTTGTCACTTGGTGGATGTGTGACTTGGGACAAGTTAATCAAACTCTCTGAGCTTAATCAAACAGATTATTTGGGAGGCTGGATTTTATGAAGAATGTGGCCTCAGGATTGGAGGAAGTTCACCAACAACCTGCATTGTGCAGATGACATAACCCTGCTTGCTGAAACTGAGGACTTGAAATGTTTGCTGCAGCTCAATATGAATTGCACCTCAACATCATGATAGATGGAGAAGGGATTAAAGTTGCTAATGATTTCATCTTGTTTGGATCCAGAAGCAACACTCTTGACACCGGCAGTCAGGAAATCAAAAGATGAGTTGCAGTAGGAAAATCTGTTATCAAGGATCTCTCCAGAGTGCTAAAGAATAATAATATCAGTCAGGCCATGGTCTTTTCAGTTGCTTCCTATGCATCTGAAAGCTGGGCAACGAATAAGATGACAGAAGAATTGATGTCTTTGAGTTGTGGTGCTGGAGAAGAGTATTGAACATACTATGGACCGCCAAGAGAATAGGTCTGTTCTGGAGAGAGCAAAACCAGTTTGTTCTTTGGAGGCAAAACATGAAGCTCCTTGCCAGGAGGGATCAGTCCTTAGAGAAGGATATCATGTTTAGAAGGGTAGAGGGTTGTGCAGAAGAGGAAGACCCTGGATAAGATATATTGACACAGTACCTGTGGCAAAGGGTCACTTGTGTCAGAGATGGTTAGACTCACTCAGTTTTTACTCATTGGCTTCCTCAGATGCCTTTCTCTCCAGTGAGATCTGATGTACAGGCCGGGGACTTGCCAGCCTCTATAAGCAACCAAATAATTTCCTTGAAAGAAACCTCATACACACATTTATTTAATTGGTTTTGCTTCTGTAGAGAATCCAGCCTATGTATCTATCTATAAAAATCCAAAATCATTAGTATATATCAGTTATATACTTCATCCTCACAAGACCCCATGAGGTAGGTCACATGATTCCAGATGATGAAAGAGACTCCCTAAGAGAGAAAAAGAACTTGCTCAAGTGGCAATGCCAACACCTTGGTTGCAATATTTGTTATATGAAAATTTTGCACAACGTCACCATTGGGGAAAACCAGGCATACTGTACAGTATCTCTCTCTGTATTCTTTCCTATAACTGCACCTGAATATATCTCAATAAAAATTTAAATGAAAATAAAATACTGTGAGGAAACGTATATGAAGTGTTTGATCCCAAAGCCTGCCACACAGTTAAGTACTAAACAAGCCCAGGCTCCAAGTCAAATACAAAACAAAGGAAGTTTGGAGATCAGGTTTCGTCCAGAGAAAACAAGCCTGTGATACATGTTAGTGAGCGTCATTTATCAAGTGATTCTGAACTCCTGTTCTAAATGTCAGGATGCCATTTGGATTCACTGACCAGCTCAAGACAGCAGAAGTGATAAAATCTTTTTAATAAAAATGTTTTCTTTGTCAGAGTAAAAAGCACACATTTCTACGGTGTCTCAGGAGGCAGAAGCTATTTTTAACATTACACAGTTTGTTTGCTGGTGCTTCCAAATGGAAAGTTCCACCACTCCAGAGAATGGGCACCACTGAGAGGTTCATAGTGAAAAATGCTCCAATCACAGAGTAAGTTTCTGGCTGATGTTCTAGAAGTGTTAGCTGCTTGAATGAAGACATCACCTTGACGCCACCTTCATACACGACCTTCCGAATGAGATCACCTTCCTCCATGGAGCGAAACGTGGCCTCTTAGTTAGGTCTGTAAGAATTCAGGCTGCACTCGCGCCACTTTCCGGAATTCTTTAGTGTGGGTTTTCGGGCACTGCATCTCACACCAGCTGATGGGAACCATCTGGACTCCTGGAAAGAGAAAACTGCTGTTGGAGTTAAGATTGAAAATATTTGTTGGAGTCCCTTCTTTTCTCAGCTGGGCATGACAAGTGTAGAAGCGTCCCCCACCTTTCCCAAGAAAGCTTTGCTTATTCTAATGCCTTATAGAGGGAGCCCACACTCACGCATTTACATAAGGAGAATCCCTCCAATCTTAGAAGTATCTACCCCTGTTATTTTCTAGATGCTTACAAATAAAGGAAATAAGGGTGGTGGTGGGGAACAAATGAGTCCGAGACTAAAGCGTGGCTCCCAGGAAAGCTCATGACGTGACTCACCTGACTCACTGTGGGCCACCACCACTCCAAGTTCATTCTCAGCAGTGGTCAGCAGATAGTTGGACTGCGCATCACCTAGAGAGATCTAGTCATGTCAACTGGTGAAGGAAAATGAAGAGATAAAGTTTCCCTCCCCTAGAGCTACTCGTGTTGTTTCTTTACTTTGACAAGAAACCAGAAGTCTGAGAACAAAGGATACGACTTTGGCCAATACAATGTCACCTGGTCGGAAACTCTTGTAAATTTCAACCTGTAAAGAAAGATTATGTGAAAGCTCTTTTTCAGCTGTACATGAAACAACTAATCCTTCTGGATGGAGCCAGTCTAACGCCAAAGGATGAAAGTCATTGGTACCCAGGTCAGTTTTACTGTCCCTGTGCTGCTGTTAGTACGTGTCATCAATTCGGTCCTGACTCATAGTGGCCCTAGGTACAATATACGGCATTATCATATAACTGGAGTACTTATTCTGGATTCAGTAACCTGATTAGGACTCTCTGAACCACGTACCTCTGGGACTGCAGTGCAGCTTCTTGCCACCAGAGCTCCCTGTAATTGATTCTTAAAAGGTCCAAGTAAGGGAGTGCTGGAGGCCTAGTGGCAAGAAGCTGCACTGAAATCAGAAAGGCACGCAGTTTGAATCCACCAGATGTTCTGCTGGAGAAGGAGGGGCAATCTCCTCCTGTACCAGTTGAATCCGATTTGACGGTGCACACACATACAAAACAATAATTGAAAAAAAAAGGTCCAGAGTAAATGGAGGGACAGCAATGAATAAATAAATACTTCATTTCAAAGACAAAAAAACCAAGTTAGTGTCTCTCTACTCAACTGAGTGAACAAAAATTATACACAGAAGAAGGGACACAGTGAGAAGGAAAAAAAAAAAAGGGACACTGAAGTAAATTCCACTCTTTATAGCAGGAGAACACATTCAACTTCTGTGCACGACACATTCCTTATGGATCTTTGAGGTTTATTAGAATAGTTATTTAAAACAACTGAGATTTCTTGAATTGGAGATGAGGAAAGGATCATTAACTAACCTTGTCTTTTTCAGTAGCTCGGACATCTTCCTTTCTATAAAAAAAATAATTAACAGAAAGATTAATTATCACCGAGAAAGAAATATCCCTCAGAGTCCTAGCAAAGAGCTATACGAGCAGATCAAACAAGTTGTAATTGGGATCTGGCTACCACCCAGAGGAGCAGAGTGGGGAAGCATTTCCAGTTCTCACTGGGAGAGAAAAACAGACCACAGAGAGCTGTGAGGTCAGTATCACTGACTAAAGAGTAACACTTTAGATTTGACCAGATCAGAAAGATTAAGAAACTCTGCTGCCTCAGGAGAATCTGAACAGAAGCACTACAGAACCACAGAGAATCCTGAGGCCAGAGTGGGGCTCTGCAGTTACCTGGTTCACAAGAACTGTTTATTCCTCCTCAAAGAACCTCCAAGGAGATCTCCAAGAATTAATCTACCATCTCACTCACTAATCTTTCCAAAGGAGCTCTGGTATGTCCAGAGAGTGTGGCACTGTGAACCAAAAAGCTGTAAGCAAGTCCAGTGGCTCGAATCCACCAGTAGTTCCACAGGAGAAAGATGGGCAGTCTCCACTTGTTAACATTTACATCCTAGGAAACCCAGTGGAAGGCCTGACCAGGAGTGAAAACCAACTCCACAGAAGTGAGTTTGAGCTTTTTAGTTTTAACTTTCTCAACATTACAACCTTTGGGGATTTAAAATAAATTCAAGAAAAAACAAGAGACACTTCTTTTAACACATTCTACTTTGTTTTGGAGGAATGAATTAATGAATGCTGCTGTTCCTTTTCATCTCTGCTCAGTTCTTTCTGCTTTACTCTTCAACCCTCTCTCCTTAACATTTTCCTTTTGTCCCAGCTCATATTTCCCCCCACTACTGGCAGAAAATCAAAGCACAAAAAAGAGCCAAAAATAACTGCATTTGTTCTTACAAATTACAGTCTCTCCTTCAACGCTAATCTCACTCCAGGTGTTGAGACAAACATGAAGACAAGTATGCTTCCTACCGGATAGTTCCTCGGAAAGAGTTCTTAAGTGGTGTGGACCCCACATAAAGGATGTGTACTTTGGCAAAGCGCGAGTTGATGCTAGAGACCTGCAGAAGAAAGGATTAGCACCAGAAAATCAGCAGTTGTTGAGTTCAAGGAGGCAGCAATAAGTGGCAATTACAATGGTTTTAGTCTGAACAATCCTACTAAGTATATTACTTTAGGCAACTTAACTCCCATTTATCTCTGCACAAATGCTATCTGTGAAGTGGACTAAGAGCCATTCTGGACTTTCCATTGTGTACTGTGGAAAGAAAATGAGGAAATGCAGGACAGACGTTGAAGTTTAACATAAAAAGACAGAGGGCATTACAGAAAACCTAGACATGTAACAGATCTTACTAAGATGTGCATTTAGTGAATTTACTTTAGAAAGTAAGTCTGTACTTCAGCTGGTGTGTAATATCTGAATTATTGTCTCACCAGTTACTTTCAGAATCACAGACTTTCAGTTAGAACAATTTACAATGAGATAAAATGATAGCTGTAAATTAATTTAATCTAGGAGAGGATGGGAATGGGCAGACAGAACTGTGTCACATAATAATAGTACAGTTAACATGTTGCCGCAAATTACGGCAAATGTGTTTCTAAGCCCGGTCATCAATTTAAAAAGTGTGCAGCAACGTGTTAATGCATTTTTTTAGGGTGACAGAAATACTGAAGAATACAATATAGCAACCACTAGCCAGAAGTGGTTACTCAGCATTGGAAATATTACAAATACTGATTTCTATTATTTATAATACACATATCATTATACTCACAAAACCTCACTGCTATCAAGTTGGAATGGACTCAGAGCTGATACTCCAGCAGGTTTCCGTTTCCAGGCCTGTAAACTGCACAGGAGGAGAAAGGCTATCTTCCTCTGGAGGAGCCACTACTGGATTTGAACCCCCAAGGAGAGGCAGCCTCTGGGGTAGCAGTGCAACTCTTTATGGACTAGGCCACCAGAACTCCTAACAAATGTTGCTAGGTGCTGTCAAATCAATTAAGATTCACAGTGACCCTATGAACAAGAGATCAAAACCCTGCCCTATCTTGTGCCATGCTCACGATCCCCGCCATACTTGAGAGTCCACTGTAACCGAATCAATCTCCGTCACTCAAGTTCTTCCTCTCTTTTGCTGACCTTTTCCAGTCACAGAAGACTAGTGGTCACCATGCTGAGTAGTTTCTCTAGAATGATGATGATTTTAGTACTAAGTATCTTTTGTAGGGAGAATAGAACCAACTTACCTTACAGGTTACAATAGCCCCCACATCTGGCAATAACTGGGATTCTGTTTCTCTCATCACAGACACCACAGGAAGCTACAGAGAGAATAAAGACAAACAAACAAAACCAATGGCATCTTGGCCACTGAGTAAACCTTGAGTAAAGGTTTCTGTGGCTTGAGGGTAACAAAGGAATCCCCTGGTCCACAGCTGGGGTCATAAAGATGGCTGACTATAGATTTATATAGTTCAGAAGTAGAAGTCAGAAGTTCATAGTAGTTCTAGGAGATGAGAGGACCAAAGGGTCATGGGAAGATCGTAGCCAGAAAATATAACCATTCCAAATTAGTTCTAATAAAGTTTTTTGGGGATTTTCTGGGTATGCAACCTTAATGCCTGCCACTAACTTACTCATTGCCATTGAATCAGAACTGACTCATACCTGACTTTCCATAGGGTCTCCAATCATATGGAAATAGCCTGTCCATTTTCCTGCTCAGTTGCTGGTGGATTTGAATGAGCAGTGGCATGGCCCCTTTGGGTTAACACCACAACTCCTACCAGTGCTCCCTAGACTGCCTATAATCATAGATAATTCAATGTCTCAAGATTTTATCAGCTATCCCCCAAAGCACTCATCACACCTGTAGCCGTACACTCACTGGGGCATTTATGATTTGTGTCTCTGCCCCTTGATATGAAAGATTGCCTGTATATGGTTCATTACTAGGCCCTCAGAAGCCAGCACTGTTTGTTGCTGTTATTGTGTACCACAGAGTTGGAATCAACTCATAGCTGAGTCTCCAGGCGAAGCTGTTGGTGGCCTTGCACTGTATGCCTTCGGGACTGCAGTGCAGTCTCTTGTCATTAGGCTACCAGAGCCCTGCAATCCTGAAGGCTTTCAGTTCGAGGTCACCAGCTGCTCCGCAGGAGAAGGATGGGCGATCTCCTCCCGTGCAACTGACTGCCTCTGAAAACCCACTGGAGGGCCAGCTATGGGTCAGTTCCGACTTGATGGTCAACAACAACAGTGGTACCGTTTAGCACATAAAAGTGCTCAACAGACATTGATGAACAAATTTATGTATATTAAAATGAAATTGGCTGAATAATAATAATAATAAATCCTTCATTTTAAAGATGAGGAAGGATTTAAAACTAAGAGTTTAAGTTTTTTTAAACCAAGGTCTAGGAGCTCTGTTGGCCTACTGGTAAAATGCTGTGCTGTAATCTCAAAGAACACAGTTCAAATCCACCAGCTGCTCTGTGAGAGAAGAATGAGCATCCTCCTCCCATGCAATTTACTGCTGCCTCTGAAGGCCCACTGGAGGGTCTGCTAGGGGTTGGTTCCTGCACAAAGGCACATGACAACATTAACCATCAATGCCTAGTTGGCAGGCACCTTGTTGTTGTGTACCACCAAGTCAGAATTGACCCTCCGGCAGGTTTCAGAGGCAGTTAATCGCACAGAAGGAGACTGTCAATCCTTCTCTTGTGGAGCAGCTGGTGGATTCCAACTGCGTGCCTTCAGGATTGCAGTGCAGCTTCTCACTCGTAGGCTACCTACATGTGTTGCAGCAGGGACCTACATGTTTTAATTCTGAATTCTCTTTCTACTATGTTACCGATTTTTAAGCTGCATCTTCAAAGACCAATTAGCTGATTCTGAGCTAAGAATCCTGGATCAGCCTCTAGAACTAGAGGATAGTATTCATTCGACAAACTGGATTATTTACTTTGTGGGAGATGCTAAGGGTATGATGAGGAGGCCCACTTTCTAGGGATTTAGGAGTCTAGTGGAGGATAGGGAGCTCTGGTGGACTAGTGGTAAGAATATGTGCTGCAATCCCAAACACACACCGTTCAAATGCACCATTTGCTCTGTGGAAGAAGGATGGGCAATTTTCTCCCGTTGAATTACTATCTCTGGAAACCCACTGGAGGGTCAGCTATGAGTAAGTTCTGACTCCATGGTACACAACAACAGTGGAGGGAGGGCACAGCAGAGTTTTTAACTCTGCTGAGAACTTGGAAGGAAAAGATTACAGTCGTTTGCATTTTTAATAAGGAAAACTACCCACATAACCTCTTTCCTCAACTACTGGGTCAGGGAACTTTTCTTTGAGATGATACTACAGACAGTAACAAAATAGGCAAGAGGATAAGCACTGTTGTTCTGTGCCATCGAATCAGAACCAACCCATATCGGACCCTCCAGCAGGTTTTAAAGGAGAAGATTATTCCTCTTTCTCTCCCAGAAGGATAAGAATTAAATGAATGAAGACTGAGTTAACTGGGGTCAGGGGGAGGCGGAGGAGCATGCTGTAGACACAGGACAGGAGACGGTTTAATGGCCGACCTCTGGTGGCAGAGTCCCGGGGGAGCAGCGCTGCTAATCCAAAGGCAGCGCCTCTCAGATGGTTCGAATCTACCGTGGTTCCACGGGAGAAAGTAAATCTCATCCCGTGCGATTTACAGCCTCTGAAAACCCGCTGGCAGGTCACCTATGAAACCGATTCAGACTCAACTATAATGAATGGGTGAGCGAGTGTGAAAGAAGAGACAAGATAGTCAGAATGATCCACCAGATCCTTTGCTGGAGAAGGAGGGGCAGTCTCCTCCTGTACCAGTCAGATCCGATTTGACGGTACACAACACAAAAAATAATAAATTTAAAAAAAAAAAGATTGTATAGAATGAAGTGGAGCGAGTGAGGTTTGATGAACTTCCAAAACAGTCAACTCTCAAAAACTGACAGCTCACAGCTGGGCTGGGTTACTCTTAGCTCGTCTCTGCTCTCCTCAACCCAAAGGTCGGCCGCATAACATAGCGAGTGAGAAGAACACAGATATTGAGAATTGGCTTATAGACAGATGGGACAATGTAGAGATTAAAGTTTTTCTACTAGCAATGATTTAAGGACGCATTCCCAGAGTCCCTTCCCCAGAGCCCCGAAACCACTGGCTGAGAGACGAGCCCAGGGACAGCCGCGCCTTTACCGCGCCGTTCTCGCTGCTCTTGGTCAGGTAGCCGGCAAGCGACGAGAAGATGTAGCCGTGTCGGGTGTAGGTGCCGCTGCCGGGGCTGCCCTCCTCCAGATTACACAGACGTTCGCCTGCAGAAAAAAACATGTCGCATCAGCCATGGTCTCGCCCGGGAGATGCCAGCCATTCAGACTGCCCGCCTCGGTCCTGGTCCAGGACCGCAGACAGGGCTCGCTTACCTGGGACGCAGTACCGCGTGGGGGACGCCATGACAGCAGAGGTCCCAGGACCCGGATGAACACGAGACAGACTTCCTACTGGCCAGATGCAGATGTACCGCCCTCCATAACAAACGCGCCAATTGGCGCGTGTGATCATGTGATCTCCGGAGGCCCGCCCCGAGGGCCAAGCTTCTTTTCCCAGGTTTCCGCGAGACGGGTCCAGGGGCGTGGCTGCCCGGCTCCGGGGCGTGCGCATGCGCATGTGGTCAAGGATGGGCTGGCCGTGGGGCCCGGGACCCCGGCTGCTGTTGAGGGCCGCGGGCCGTGCCGGATCGCTCTGAGCCGCTCCGGCCCGGGCGCCGAGCTGGAGGGGCCGGTGGGGAGCGACGGCGGAGGCTGCGGGACTCTCTGACTATTTGGAGAGGCGGCAGGTAAGAGCAAAGCCGAAGCTCGTGCTCCGCATCCTACTCTCTCTTGGGGCCAGCCTTTCGGGGAGCCCAGGTTCTTGCTCTCCTCGTCCCCACCCTGCAATGCCGTGCCCTCCTCTCGCTGGCCAGACGCACCCCGAGGGCAGCGGCCACAGGCACCGCAGGAAGGGCCACCGACCCAGCTCTCCCATTTCTCGGATTCGGACACTCAGCTCCTTGACAGTCTGGGAGAGAGTTGAAGGCAGAGTCCACACCGTGTTTTTTGACTTTAGTCTTGTGAACCTTGACCATGACGTAATGGCAGCTTCCAATCCTGCGGTTGGACTCGTTTAAGCGGAATTCTGGTGTGAGTTTCTGATACGGCTTCCTCCCGTCTTTTCCCCCCAGCATGTTAGCACAGAAGGGAAGTCTTGGACACAACGAAAGACTGCCCTAGGCTGCTGTTTGAGATTGCAAACATCCTGAAAGCCGCTTCTTTGATCAGATGATATTTACCACACCTTCTTCTGTTTCCTCTGCTTTCTAGTGGCTTTAAAATCTATCCCTTTCTGTCTCTTCCCCACTCTCCAACCCAGGGCAGATGATGAGTTAGCCTCTTGGGAAGAGGAGATTCTCTTTGGAGTGCAGTGGCCTACTGTCCCCTCTAATTGGCTGGCAGATGCCACTATGGCCTTTGGCTACACTATTGAGGGATCAGTGTGCTCAGGGCTTTTTCTTACGGTAATAATGAAATTGTTTTTGCTCTATTTCCTCCCCTAATCGCTCAGCAGGGAGCTCTGGTGGCGTAGTGGTAAGGAATTGCCCAGCCAGTGCAAAAGCAGGGGTTTGGAATCCACCTGATAGATACTCCATTCACGGGGGAATTATTGCCTGTGAAAACTCGTTGGAGTATCATCTATGTGTCCATTCTCAAAGGTCCACAGCAAAAAGTCTCTCAGAAGGAGCCCTGGTGGTGTAGTGGTTTAAGCTCTCAGCTTTTAACTGAGTCACCTGTTAACCCCACTGTCCCAGCCCACCTGCCACTGTGGTGTCTCCATCTGTATGTAAAGATTTACAGCCTTGGAAGCCTTATGAGTCGTTCTACTTTGCTCTTTAGAGTGGCTCTGAGTAAGAATTGACTGGATTGCAGTGGGTTTTGGGTGTTGGGATTTACTCTTAAAACTGCCTTCATCTATCTATCTATCATCTATCTATCTATCTATCTATCTATCTATCTATCTATCTATCTATCTATCTATCTATCTTTGTTTTGCCTTTAGTTTCTGAGGCAAAATCTCTGTGTGTTTAGTTGTGGCCCATGGACCACATCTTTCTCCCTTTACTGGCATTCCCTCCCCACTAACCTGAAGTAGGAGGGCTTTGGCTTCAAGCTTTTATTCAAATCTGATCTGTAACTGTATCTGAAGCTTTCTGTTTGCATAACTGGATTGGTATCAGGTTGGACTTGTTTTCTAAATGTCTTCCAGCTCTTACACAGTATGGTTCTAATAACGGTTTCTATTTCTGTCTTTGATCAAAAAGAATGATAGTGGCAGACAGTTAATGTGATCACATTGTTAGGATAGTCTTTGCTGGAGTTCATAGGACAGACCTCACCACCCTTCCCACTTGCGCAACCTCAATCATGTATTCTAGGTCATTCATTCATGGAGCACTTTTTTGGAGCCAAAGGAGCTCTGGTGGCTTAGGTGATGGGCTTGTACTTCAAACCCAAAGGTTGGCAGTTCAAATCCACCAGCTACCCCAAGGGAAAAGAATAGGCTAATCTGTAATGATTTACAGCCTTGAAAACGCCATGAAATGTCACTATGAGTTGGAACGAATTCAGGGGTTTGGGTTTGTTGGTTTGTTTCTTTGAGCCAGTTATTGTGCTAAGCTTTTACAGACATTTAGCTTAGGGTTGTGTGTGTGTTTAGCTTAGGGGTGTGTGTGTGTGTGTGCATTTGGAGTTAGAGCTAGAGAGAACCTTAGTATTTAATCTTATTCTCCTTCATTGTATGGGGACACAAAAGTGAGTCTTAGCCAGATTCAGGGATTTGCCCAAGAACACACAACTAGTTAGGGGTAGTTGAACTCAGATAGGTAGGATATGGGCAGGTGAGAATTGGTCAATTCAGTTTTTGAGGCAGGTATTTCCTAGAGAGCTTAGAAATACAGAGAACATTGTGAATATGGAAAGGGAGGTTCCCCCCCCACTTCCTTTCAGATTTTATTTTGTTGAGAATATACATAGGTAGGGAGTTCTGGCGGTCTAGTAGCAAGAAGCTGCACTGCAATCCCAGACGTGTGTGGTTCGAATCCACCAAGTGCTCTGCTAGAGAAGGAGAGACAATCTCTGGTACCAGTCAGATCTGATTTGACAGTACACACACACAAAATAATAGTAATAATAATAATAGTAATAATAATAATAAATTTTAAAAATCCCATAGAATATACACAGGCAAACATACATCTCTTCAACAGTATCTCCAGGTGCAATTTAGTGACATCGAAAGCACTTTTCATGTTGTGCAGTGATTCTCACCTTCCTTTAAGTAGTTCCTCTTTTGTCAGCATAAACTCACTGCTCAATGAGATTTCTATTTAATCTTTCATGTTGCTGAAGTTTGATCCCATGTTGATTATATTATATAAGCTACTACTAATAAAATTGTTCTTAATAATTTGAGCTACACAAGTGAAGGGTTAGGACAAACTAGTTTCCCAGTTTGTTCCCAAAGAATTTCTCAGCATGATAGTTTCTCAGACCACAGTTCATTCAATTATGTTTCATGACATTGATTACAGTCTCTGAATTGTAATGGCATTCTTTTCCTTTTCACTCTGTTTCCTGTTCTCAGTTTTCTTTCTTTCCTATCCCTTCCTGCCTTCCGAACTTTATACCTTGGCAGATGCTGACCATTTGATCTTGTAGGTTAATTATCCTAAGGAGTGCATTCTTGCCTGGTGTTCCTGGTCACCTTAGAGGCCTGGCTATTGTTTGCCTGAAAGTTGACTCAAGGGGCCGATTTCAGTTACATGCTTGAAGAGTGATCCCATACGGAGAGTTCCTAGGAGCACAATGCGTAAGGCAGACCTTTTGGCACACAAACTCAACATAAATCATATTTTACATCCTTCTCTTATTTCTAGGGAACTCTGGTGGTCTAGTGGTAGGAGTTGCTCTGCCAACCCAAAGGCATGGGGTTCGAATCCATTAACTGCTCCACAGGAGAATGATGCCTAGTCTCCTCCTGTGTGATACACAGTCTCTAAAAACGCACTGGAAGGGAGCTGGTGGCCTAGTGGCAAGATGCTGCACTGCAATCCCAGAGGTACGTGGTAAAAATCCAGCAGATGCTCTGCTGGAGAAGGAGGGGGCAATCTCCTCCCGTACCAGTCAGATCTGATTTGACGGTACACGTAAAAAAATAATATAATAAAAATAAAACATTTTAAAAAATAAAAAAACCAAAACGCACTGGAAGGGTAGCTGTCAATCAGTTCCATTTTGACAGCACATAACAACCTCTTATTCCTAACTTTTCTTCCTCTGTTGTTCCCAGTGAATAGAGACCAAATGATGTGTCTTGGATGACTGTTTGCAAGCTTCTAAGACACCAAACCCTATATACCAAACAGAAGCACTAACCACACTATTAGGCCAATTAACTGGGTGTTCTGTGAAACCATGACCCTAAGCCACCAAACTGAAAAACTAATTCCCATGAAGTGTTTGGTTACACAGCAGCCTCAGCAGATACTTTTTTTAAAAAAAGTTTGTAACTGTATCTATCCTATAACTTGCCAATTTAATTTTTTATTTGTATAGTTTGTTGAGGGGACTGGTGGCCCAGTGGACAAGGAGTTGTGTTACTAATTCAAAGGGAGGTGGTTCAAATCTACCAGGTGCTCTACAAAGAAAAATGGAGTGTCTCCTCTCTTGCAATTTACAGCCCCTGAAAACCAGCTATGAGTTGATTCTGACTGGAGGGTGCATGACAACAGCATAACTTACTTACAGCAGTAACTATTGCTTGCCAGTCTATGAGATTTTGATGTTAACCAGCCCTTTCTTCCTTACGTCTCACCCCTTGTAAATACCAATACATTTTCTACACAATTTTGCCTTTTAAAAATCTTTTTAATGTAAGTGAGGTCATATAATAATTGATTTTATGTGTGGTTGACTTTTTTTTCACTCAGCATAATGTATCAAGACCTCATTTCTCCTATTGGCTGAGGTATTTTTCATTGTATCTATCTACCAGTTTATCCAGTTACCTGCTGATAGAGTGTGTTCACCATTTGGCTTTTCTGAATAGTGCCACAACGAACATTGGTGTACAAATTTTTTTTAAATAAGTTTCTATTTTATACTGGTTTGCTTACAAAGTTTGAATACATTGTTTTTCACACTGGATCTTTCCCAGTTCCTTTACCCACCCCTCCCTCGACCCATCAAATTGTGCGAGCTATGATTATCCTTTTGCCTACTCTCACCCCCCTGCTCCCACCCTCTCCCCCTTGGATCCTCATACACATTTTACTAGTTATTTTTCTATTTCTACAATCATGGTCTTATACATTATTTGTCCTTATGGGACTGAGTTAGTTCACTTAGCATAATGCTCAGTCCCTCTCATGTTATATATAGTAATTTTCGAAATCATTGCTCCTGCCTGTTACATAGTATTCCGTCATGTGAATGTACCACAATTTCTCAATCCATTCAGTTGTGGTTGGACATTTGGGCTGTTTCTATGTTCTTGTGATGGTGAATAATTTTTGCTTTGAACACTAGTGTATAAATCTCCGTTTAGGTCTCATTTCTAATTTTATTGGGGTATATTCCAAGCAGTGGAATGGCTGGGTCATGCAGAATTTTCTACTTTTTGAGGAAACGCCAAACTGCCTTCCAGAGTGGTTGTAACAAAGTCTTTTCTTAACTTTCACCTTTTATGTGTTTTGGATGCATGCCTTGGAGTGAAATTGCTCGGCCATATGGTCTTTCTGTTGTTTAGTTTTTTAGGAACTGCCACACTGTTTCCCAAAAGGGTAGTATCATTTTACATTCCCACCAGCAGTGATGTGGGTTCGAATTTATCCTCACCAGCACTGTTTTTTGGTTTTCGGTTTTTTTAACTTTTAGGGGAATCAAATAGCTTCTCTGATTTTTTTTCTGATGACTAATCATGCTGGGTATCTTTTCTTATTTGGTGGCCAGATGAATGAATGTCCTCTTTGGTGAAATCTCTACTCTTTTACCCATTCTGTGATTGGTTTTTGTTTTGTTTTTTTGCTTATGTTTGTTATTAATTGCCGTTGAGTCAAAAATGACTCATAGCTGGAGAGCTCTGGTGGCCTAGTAGAAAGAAGCTGCACTGCAACCCAGAGATATGCGGTTCGAATCCACCAGATGCTCTGCCGGAGAAGGAGGGGCCATCTCCTCCTGTACCAGTCAGATCCAATTTGACGGTACACACACACACACACACAAAATAATAAAATAAAAAAAATATATTAAAAAAAAAGACTCATAGCTGACCCTCCAGCCAGTTTTCAGAAGTTGTAAATTGCACAGGAAAAGACTTCCCATCTTTTTCCCTTGAGAGCAGCTAGTGGATTTAGGATGTTTACTGTGAGTTGTTACTGAGTCATAGCTGACCTTCCAGCAGGTTTTCCGAGGTAGTAAATAGCATGGGAGGAGAGTGCATGTGGAGCAGCTGGCGGATTTGAACCTTATGCTTTTGGGATTGCAGCACAGTTTTTTACCACTAGGCCACCAGTGCTTCCTAAGAGCAGCTGGTGGATTTGAAACACTTGCTTTTGGTTTGGCAGTGCAATTCATTACACATTAGACCAAAGGATTATATAGATTTTTAAAAATTTTATTACTTTTTTGTGTGTACCGTCAAATTGGATCTGACTGGTACAGGAGGAAATTGTCTCTCTTTCTCCAGCACAGCATCAGGTGGATTTTTTTTTTTTTTTAAAACAATGTTTTATTGACATTGGGTCATTTGGGAATAATTACCCACATTTATTTATACGTTAAGATATTTTACCTCATTGGAAAAAAAAAAGAGATAAACGTTATATTACAGCCTTTTTAAACTTTGATGTGTCTGCTGCTGAGTTGAGTCAATGGTCAGTTCTTTGATGTAATACGGACTTCACTATTTTAATTCATCAACAAAAGGTGTATGCCCCAAATTTCCACTTGCTGCCATTGATTTTTTGCCAGAAACAAACTTCGTTGCAGCATCAGGTGGATTTGAACCACTTACCTCTGGAATTGCTGTGCAGCTTCTTGTCACTAGGCCACCAGATCTTGCCAGGAATATATTTTTATTGACTAGGAGGATGATGGTGCAATGGCATATCACTTAACATTTTCACAAATAAAGAATGCAATTGATCTGCAAGCTGTTACTATATTTTAACAAATAGGCAACTTATGCCTTTGAGCTGTGGTGCTGGAGAAGAGTGTTAAATATACCATGGGCTGCTAGGAGAATAAACAGGTTTGTCCTGGAGAGGGTGAAGCCGGAATGCTCCTCAGAGTCAAGGATTCTGAAGCTTCATCTGACATACTTTGGGCATGTTGCAAGGAGGGACTGGTCCTTGGAGAGGGACATCATGTTTGGGAGAGTGGAGGGACAGCGCAGGAGAGGAAGACCCTTGATGAGATGGATCGAATCTGTGATTGGGGTGGTGGGAATGAGTGTGTTTGAGACAGCGAGGTTGGCACAGGATAGAACAGCGTTTAGGGCTCATATACATAGGGTCACTATGAGTCACAGGCAACACAATGGCACATAACAACAACAGCAACCATCGACCATAGTAAGAGGTTGAATGTTGTTGCGGTTAGGTGTCATTGAGTTGATCACAGTCCATAATGATCTCATAAGCAACAGGTCTGAACCTAAGTAATGGTTTGGATGATCCAGGAGTCACCTAGGTTTGATGTGGGGTGATATACTTTGTCCCATTCTCGTTTGTGACTCTACTCTTTTGAAAATGCATTCTTCAGGGCAGATCATGTTACCAAACAATAAAGTCTAGCTCATACCAGAGAGGGGAGGAAGTTTGAAGTAACCTCTACTTTGGTTACACACCCTCCCTTGGTTTGCTGGGAGGTGATGGGAATGGCCAATTCCTTCATTTTGGTGCAGAGGGTGGGTCCCCCTGGCTTTTGTCTTCTCTTTCTCTGTAAGCTGTGTCTGCCGGGCGTCTGTTTTAGGCAATGATAGGGCTTGTGGAAGGCGGTAATTAAGTGTTTCCTTTGAAAGACCTTCTGTGGGGATGAGCCAAGATGCACGCAGAATACATTGCTCCAGTTACTGAATTGAAACCTCCCTTGAGTGGTGCGGCCTCCTCCAGTTTCTGCTGGGCTTTTGAGCTGCCTATTTAATAAGTCAGTGGAGTTGCTGAGGACAAGGCAGCCGTTTGTGGCCATCCGAGGGGAAAGCCAGGTCATTTTTTTACTGATAAAGTACTTTAATCTGCACATTTGATGAGGCTATTAGCATAGGAAATCTGGTCATGCAGCTGTTTCTGTTCTGGGCATTATCTGGGCAGCCAGCCTCCTGCTGTTGGATGCCACAGCAGAGAAGAGATGGGGGCACTTGAAGCCATATTGTGGTGGGGTCTAGAGAGCGAGGAAGGCTGCTGGGGTTGCTCGGGTCCAAGGGCAGCAGGGACGCCTCCTCCTGCTGTCTTCTCCCTGTGGTGTAATTCTGGATATCCAAAGTTGTCTTTGCTTTTATATCCATGGGGAGAGAAGGGATTGGAATTGAGGAGAAATCATCTTGTGTCATGCAAGGGGAAGCTGGGCTCTCCCGATGGGAAGCCAGGGAATCTTATGCTCCTGTGGTCAGTGTGCAAGCCCGTAAAGTTACATGTCAGCCCTGAGGACGGGAGGAGGAGGGGGAGGGGGAGGAGGAGGAGGAGGAGGATCTTTTGTGAAGACTCAGAGCATCAGGGAAGATATAGGTGCAGGATCCACATGCCATGCACTCACTGTCCCCTAGAGAGGCCAGGTGAGCTGTGGAAAGGACAGTTGTTAGAAGCTGGATTAACGGGCCAGTGCAGATCCACACTCCCCTCAGTGATCTCTCAACATGGAGAATTCCAGAGACCCTACCTGAGCTTGGGATTGCCCCCGCCTCTCCTCCCCTTTCCCCTGCCTCTTATGTAGTGCTGATGTAACAGAAATCCCACAAGTAGGTAACTTTAACACATTTACTTTCTTAGTAGCCTAGAAGTCCAAATATAGTGCATCGGCTCTCGGGGAAGGTTTCCCTGTTGGCCTGGGGTGAGCGTCGTCTTCCTTGGCCATCTCCACCTGCTGTGGCATCTGTTCCCCACAGTCTGTCCTAGTGCACCTCTCTGCCCAGTCTGCTCACTTCGGTCTTCAGAGACTACCCTAAGGTCCATGGCACACTAATACTCTCTAGGGGTGAAGTGAGCCTTTTCACACGGCGTGGGCCTGGCCTAGCTGAGCCTCAGGTTTTTGTCCTCTAAGCTGGTGCTGTGGGTCTCCCTGCTGGTGGGACTGTGGAGGACCAGGGCCAGGCTGGGTCTTCATGGTGGTGTGTCTTCCTTAGGAGCCATGCGGGGCCAGCGGAGCCTGCTGCTGGGGCCGGCCCGCCTCTGCCTGCGCCTGCTGCTGCTGCTGGGCTACAGGCGCCGCTGCCCACCCCTGCTCCGGGGCCTGGTGCAGCGCTGGCGCTATGGGAAGGTCTGCCTGCGCTCCTTGCTGTACAATTCCTTTGGCGGCAGTGACACGGCTGTCGATGCTGCCTTTGAGCCCATCTACTGGCTGGTAGACAACGTGATCCGCTGGTTCGGGGTGGTGAGTGGCGCCCAGGGATGTTTTGCTGTGGGGGAGGGACCGGTGTCCCCGTCGAGGCCAGCCCCCTATCCTCAGGAAAGTTCCTGACTCGGCTGGGGTGCATGAACCCCTCGCCTGGGCGGCCTGACTCCCCGTTTTGTACTGGCAGGTGTTCGTGGTGCTGGTGATCGTGCTGACAGGCTCCATCGTGGCCATCGCCTACCTGTGCGTCCTGCCCCTCATCCTGCAGACCTACTCAGTGCCGCGGCTCTGCTGGCATTTCTTCTACAGTCACTGGAATCTGATACTCATCGTCTTCCACTACTACCAGGCCATCACCACCCCACCTGGATACCCACCCCAGGTAGGTTCTCTGAGGGGTCCGGGAGAAGAGGCGCCGCAGGCTGTGGAGGCCGGTCTTGGGAGTGGCGAGTCTATTTTTGAGGTGCAGGATGAGTGTTGCCACAGCTGTCATGATGCTCTTCTCCCTTTGCACAGGGCCGGAATGACATCGCAACCGTCTCCATCTGCAAAAAGTGCATTTATCCCAAGCCGGCCCGAACACACCACTGCAGCATCTGCAATAGGTGGGTGTTGGCCCACCCTCTCTGCATCCCAGCTGTGGCCCTTCTGTAGCCCCAGGCCAAAACCCAGACCTGGCAGGTGATTGAGACTTGCATGCCATCCTTATTATATACCAGACACTTTGCTCTCTGTGTCACGTAACGCCAGGAATGGTTCGCCCTGTTAGGCATCATGGCCACTTACAGACACTGAGGTTGAGAGTTCTCTTGGCCACTAGCTGAAAGCTGGGCTTGAAGCATGGCCTGGCTGTCTTCACAGTCTACCCTTTTCACCTCAGCAGGATGTTGGTCCTTGTAGGAAAGGATTGGCACTGACACCTCGAGAACCTTGGCCACTGTAACAGAGCCTGTGTCCCTCCCTCACAGGTGTGTGCTGAAGATGGATCACCACTGCCGTATCCTTTTACTGTCTCTGCGGCCTAGGCCTTCTTCTTGGCTCCAGTGCACTGCACAGGGTTAATGGCCACAAACCCAAGGCTTCTAGCGTCACCTTGGAGAGAGCACTGGACTCATGAGAAGTTCATGAAGAGATGTGGGGGCTCACCAGCTCCGGGGGGGAAGTCGAAGGCTGATAGTCTTGGTGGGATGCATCTTCCTGGAGGAAGGGATTTAGTCATAGCTCTTTCTCCTGTAGACTATCAGGCTGGCAGCTATGGATGGGCTCAGAAGTTCCTGCAGGAAAGAGATATCTGAATTTCTTTATCTATCTCTTGAGTATGCCTGAGAGAGCCATAACGATTGGGCCATCGTGGGGGACTGGCACAGATTCAGTGAAGGATCTTAGTTCTGCTTTCCTAGCAGGAGGCTAGTGAAGGTTTGAAAAGCTTCGGACACTTTTGCTTCAACTTCTGCAAATGGTCCCACACCTTTAAAAAATAGTTCTTGGTAACTAGAGTCCTTGAGTGAGGCCATCATGGATCAAGAATGAACCAGGAAAGAAAACAAAGAATGAAGCAGAGAGGCTTGGCTCCGGCCCCCCTGGAAGTTGTGTATTTGATCTTGTCCTTAATCCTTTCCCTACCAGCATGGCTAAACAACTGTGTGGGCCACTACAACCATCGCTACTTCTTCTCATTCTGCTTTTTCATGACTCTGGGCTGTGTCTACTGCAGCTATGGAAGCTGGGATCTCTTCCGGGATGCTTATGCTGCCATTGAGGTAAGCCCATGGGTAAGGGCATGGCAGCTTGCAGACCAGAGTTTGGGTTGTGGAATCTGTCCCTTAAGAGTGGGGCTAGTAGCAGTCCCATCGTAGAGGCCTGAGAATATAACCAGCACTGTTTTCAATCCCCCTAGAAAATGAAACAGCTCGACAAGAACAAACTACAGGCGGTTGCCAACCAGGTGGGCTGTCCCCACCCCAATGCCTCCTGCTGCTCAGGCCTGGGGGTCTAGTGTTGCTCTGGCAACTGGGGCTGGACGTGCTCATTTAGTTGTGAAGGCTGGTTGAGGAGTCCCTATAGACTGAATAGGGGATGTTTTGGGAGCTTGTGTTCAGTCGGTCAACTCAAGTGGCTTTGGGGCAAGCTGGGATGTCCCTTGTATGTGAGCATTCAGCCACCTATCCTGTCCACCTCCTCCTTGGGCCTAGTAAGGACTGTGCCATGGTGATGGTCTGAGCAGCAAGGAGATTCTGTGGGATTCTGTGTAATGGGGTGAGCTTGCCGCTCGCTGCGTCATCCTTCACTCCTGGTCTGTCTGCATTCCTGTCAGGATCGCCCCTCCTCTCTCATGTCTTTTAGGATTCTGTTCTGAGCAGATCTTGGGCTCATGCGATTGTCCATGCTGGGCCTGTGGTCTCATCTCTCTTGGGACATAGAGTGAAGGAGTTTCAGCTGGGGATGGCTTTCCCAGGAGCTCCACTTAGGAAGTCAAATCTTAACGGCCCAGGGTCAGCTCCGTCTGTGCTTTGCCATCTTGTGTGACCTGCTCTGCCCAGTGTGTGTCCACGTGGTGATGTCTCTGGGCTTGGTGCACCCATTTGGCTGCTGCCCTGACTCCTCTGTGGCTTAATCCTATCTTTTTTGGACTGGTTTTAGGTCATTTCCCTGCCTGTAGGTGCCAGGTCTTTGGGGGATAAATAATTAGCATTGGAGCAAATGAGCCAGGTTTTGTGGTTTTATTTTTCTAGACTTATCACCAGACTCCACCACCCACCTTCTCTTTTCGAGAAAGGATAACTCACAAGAGTCTCGTCTACCTCTGGTTCCTGTGCAGGTATCTCATTCTCATTTTTTAACTGGTGAAGGGTCCCTTCAGAACAACCTCGTTAGGTGTCCAGTGGTGGCGGGAACTGCCATAGTTCTGATTCAGATTGGCAGAGCCACACTTAAGGGGGTGAGGAGGGTGGCTCAGTGATTCAGTAGAGCTGAAATTTGAATTCTGTGCTATCAAGATCCCAGCCCCTGCACGCTCATTATTACCTTGCACTCTCTCCCACGCATGGATGTCTCCCAGAATGTTCTCCTTAATAGACTTCATTCTTTCTCCACCTTCCCTCTCACATACTTTATTCTTAGCCCACATAGATGCTTTGTTAATGATTCCTACAGACATAATGAACTTGAAGTTAGGATATGTTGTTTTTGTTATGTGCCGTCGAGTCGTTTGCGACTCATAGGAGATATATATAAATGTATCTAAAGTAGCAAGCCTGACCCCACTTGCCTGATGCTGCGAGCTAAGGCCTAGACAGAGGTCCCTGTTGTCATTAGGTTTATTCCAGCACATGGCAACGCCAGTAAGCAGAGTAGAACTGCTCCACTGAGCTTTTTTTTTGTGTGTCTGTTCATTTATTTTAGAATTTTCCAATCACCCGAGAGGTCACTACGTAATCACTGTTACTTGGATCAATTACAGGCTTCCCTCTGTCCCTCTCTAAGTTACCCACCGATCTTTGCCCCTCTTAGTTCTGTAGCACTTGCCCTGGGTGCCCTAACTGTGTGGCATGCTGTCCTCATCAGTCGAGGTGAGACTAGCATTGAACGGCACATCAACAAGAAGGAGAGACGTCGGCTCCAGGCCAAGGGCAGAGTGAGTAGGGCTGAGGGTTGGGTTGGTTGGGTAGAGCAACTGCCGCCCTATAAAGAGACCAAGGCCAATAGGTCAGAACCATGCCTTGCTGAGCTTTAGCCATTGTAGACTTGAAAGGTGGGAGGGGCTTAAGTAGCAGCAACTCCTAGAAATGTGTTGTTCTTGACTGTAGGTATTTAGGAATCCTTATAACTACGGCTGTTTGGACAACTGGAAGGTGTTCCTTGGTGTGGATACGAGAAGGTAAAGTATGATCTAGGCCAAGCAGAACTCTGTGGTGAGAAAAATGCTCTAGATTTGTGCTAATAGAGTAGCCAATAGTCATTATGTGGCAAATAAACGTGATTACAGTAAAACAAGATTGGAAATGAAATAGTAACATTAGATATGCTCTACATATTGGACAGTGCAGTTCTAGACTTGAGAGAGAGAGAGATCATTGCTTATTTGAAGCAAATGACTGTTAAGTGCAGAACTGTGATTTAAATAGCAGATGCAGCTTTAAAAATGACTAGAATAGAATTCTGAGAATACTCTTCTCAAGAGACTTCTAGTGAGGGGAAGAGTGATGGCAGCCAGTCACCTCCCAGCTGGTGGCATGTGTGGAATTTAAGCTAGTAATTTTTGAGACTGAAGGAATGTGTGACAGAAGTCATCAGACAATAATGAAGCCCGCTTCCTCAAAGCGAGGGGCAGAGGTGGTAGTTTTCCATATGGGAGCTACTGAGACATTAACAATCCAGACGACCCTATACATTCATCCTCCATGCCGGCACATCCTCATTTACATTCCCATAATGATTACAACCCTCAGCCCTGGCCCTGACTGTTCTCAGTCCTCATCTCCCATGGCCTGGGCTTGCAAAAGCCTTTAAAGCCTGAAAGGTGCACTCAGTGGACAATAATTAGGTAGAGATGAGAACTTGGGTTAACTTTGTGACTAGTGCCAGGATAGCTCGAGGACACCTTTACACATCCTGGAGAGGAGTGACAATCTGGAAGGGATCTGCAGCTCTTGGACCAAAATACATGTGTTTCTCTTGTAGGCACTGGCTTACCCGGGTGCTGTTACCTTCCAGCCACTTGCCCCAAGGGAATGGAATGAGCTGGGAACCCCCGCCCTGGGTGGCAGCTCACTCAGCCTCTGTGATGGCCGTGTGAACTGGCTTGTTCCACTTGTGACTTTAACATTCATTCTGCTTCCTGTGCTGTCTCAAGAAACTCAAGGACAGCTTTATTTGGACTCCATGAGCAAAAAGACCCAGTGGGCTGGCCTTAGGAACCCATGCAGGGACACCTCCAGGACCAGCCTGCTGGCTACTGCAGAAGGAAGGCTTGATGTGCAGGACACCCTGGGACTGGTAGCCCTTTACTCAGGCAAACAGAAGCTCCAGCCCCATACTGGGGGTCAGGCAGCTAAGCCAACATGCCCAGTGCTGACCACGCCTTCCCTCGGTTATGGCACTGGGGTGGTTATCAGCTCTTCCATGTGCTGTCTGAGAATACATCTGAGATCCTGGCTTCTCAACAGGGCAAAGGCTGCTGCTGAGGTCACTGCCATTTCTCACATGTTGCTGTGAAGGGAGCAAAAGTAAAGGTATTCCACTTTGTAAAGATCTGCAGTTTCTTGCTCTTTGCCTTCAGGGGAGGGGGAAGGCAGGGTCAAGGCACAGTGGGTGGGGCTCTGGTCAGGCCCCCTAAACTCTATGTGAATGGGCTAGATGTCTGAAGAAGTCTTGGCAAAGCCATCATTACTGTTCCTTTTCCTCACAGCAGTGACTCCTTGTTACAACCGAGACACAGATGCAGAGGGTCATGGGGGAGTTCCCCACAGTCCCATTATCAAAAGAAATCTTTATTCGCCAGCAGGTACACACACATCCACCCTCCCTGGCCCTCAGGACCACATTCATCTGCATTCACTACTCAGCAGCATATCTTCCTTTCTCGGCCATTTAAATGGAAAAGTCCACAACCGAGATCTGTTTTCACATACAGTAGTCTGGTTACTTCAGATCCACCACAAGTCAGTACTCCTATGGGTCTTGGACAGTCATGCAACAGAGGCCCAACACTGGTGTTGTGTCAGTGGGAGAGGGAGTCAGGCCAGTGGTCTCCCTGCCTTGAGAAAGTAGTAGTTGGCTCACTAGTAATACTGGGTTAGATTGTCAGAACAGTCAGGGCCAGGGCTCAGCTGCCAGGACTCCCCAATAGAAACCTGTAGGCAGAGAATAGTGTTGGCGGCAGCAGGCTGTGAAGCACGGTTCAGTCCCCATCTCCGTGGCCCAGGAACTCACCACTCTCCTCTGGCTGACACAGCTTCTTTGCGCACCAGTCTCTTCTTGTCATCCAGGGGCTTGGCCAAGGCCCGGATCACCTGCGGCTTGTACGGCAGCAGCTGTGGAATTAGAAGACTAGCCTGAGTCTTACTCAGCCAAAGCAACGCAAGAATCGCTTTTCTGACTTTGCATGGTTACTAATTGGAAGAAAGGGAAATTTTTTTCTTGAAAAACCAGCATCACTTTTTCTTTAGTAATTCCAGAGACTGCTGAGTGGCAGGTTGGCTGTTTTATTAATAGTAGGGTTTATTCAATCCATTACGGGTCCAAGGAAGAAGATCCTTGCTTATCTGCACCTTGTAATTCAAACCTCTAACATAGAGCAGGATCGCTAATCTCATCTGACTAAGGCAAAAGGATACTTCTTTTCTGGCTTCTCCAAGTTCCCAGGCGAGAGAGGGCCAACAGAGGTACTTACCACGGGGGTGGGCAGGTAGGTGAGCGCATGCATGCACTGGAGTGCTGCTATCCGGACTGCCTGGAACACAACCATAAGGAGGTGAGGGGAGACCTGAGAAGCCAAGATGTAGTGCCAAAGAGTTTCTGGGGCTCAACGCACCATGGAAGGGCTAGAACTCAGGTTCAGGAACTTGGTGACGAGTGTGTCAATGTGAAGACTCATGACCTGAGGTGCTTCTAGTAGAAGAGGCTGAAGGCAGCTGAGCGTGGAGAGCTGGACCACACAGTCAGGGCAGGACAGGGCCTCCAGCAGCAAGGAAAGCAGCTGAGGGCAACAGGAAAGGTGGGGACAACCACGTTTTCTGAGGACTGTGATTGGCTACCTCCCCTTTCTAGCCTCAGCTCGAAACGAATGGCTCTGACACTTGTGGAGAGGTTCCCACCACAGGACTCACTGTGGGCAGCTCTGGCAAGAGCACAGGCTTGGGCAGTCTGTTAAGTACGTGAGAGAGACCCTTCAGGTAATTTGGCTTCACATCTGTGAAAAAAAGGCAAAGGGTAAGGGGAGAAATCATATTGTGACACTAGCTTGAAGATCCAACTCTAATCTTTGAAGAAGTTGGTCAAAAGTTGGCACATACCCCACCCACACCCTTAAGGCTCAGAGTAAGTGAGGCATGTTGACATGGGAAAAGTGAGACAAGAATAAAAATTTCATTTTCTAGGTATAGACCACACTATAGTTCTAAAGCAGCTCTCAGAGTCTACCTTGGTAAGAGAATGCAGCCCAGGCAAAGGGCAGAAGGCCTGTCTTGGCTTTTTGGCCCTTCTCACCTTGAGGAGCAGCATGGAAGCTCTGGACCAGAGCAGGCACGTTATCTGTGAAGAATCGCTGGCGGAACATAATCCGGACTTCGGCGTGGCCAGCGCGGGTCAGTACATCAGAGCAGTCCGACATGAGCAGAGAGAAGCCGTCAGCTGCTGCTGGGCCCAGTTCTGGATCACTCAGGAGCCCCATGAGCTAGGAGACAAGGGCTGCTGAGGTACATCAGAGGAAAAGAACCAAGAAGCTCGAATATACAAGAGGAGAATCAAAGTACTATGTGGGATGACAAAGATCAACAAGCGGCTTCTGGTTAGATCCTGTCTCCAGAAAAGACTTACTCTGTCTGTGAGAGTGGAGCTGAGAGGATGGTATCTGAGAAGCAGGGCCTTTGTTATCTGTAATCAGAGATAGAGCACTAAGGGCATACATGACACTCAAACCCTAGTACCCCGGACAGCATATGCTTCTGGTTCATAGTCAAACAGATGGTGCCAATGCACCATCCTTACCCACAGGAGCAGTGTGAAGGCCTGAATGCGACAGGGCCCAGAACCCAGGCCAGTCTCTACTTTGTTCACAGCCAGCTGCAGGAATTCATCTAACTGTGGCCCTAAAAAAAAAGAGGGAAGAAATGCTTTATCGTTCTCTTTTAATTATAAAGAATAAATCATCTAAATGCTAAACTCCTTGAGAAGCTGAGAAAAAAATAACTGTCCCTTTGCCTTTAGTAATGTTCACCCATCCAGTTCGAGGACATGGGAGCCTGGCATTCTCTTAACGGGTGCCACCTCACCTCACTGCCCTCAAGTCGGAACCAACTCATAGCAGGGAGCTCAACATTTAAAAAGCTGTCTACTTGCAACAAACAATTGTCCGTAACAGCTCTGCTGTAGGATGGCAGAAATGGATCAAGCATTCTGCTTGAAGACATTTCCTTTATGCCCTATAATGCCTGGTCCAACTAGCTTCAGTCCTAAAGGCTGGCCTAGGGCAGCGCACCAACAGCTGGAACCCCATCCTACTATCAGCAGGTTCCTTTTTATGGTGTCTCAGGGAACCCCTGACCCAGTGCTCATCCCTAGTACCTGCAGGGTGCTTGTTGAGGAGTCCTGCAAAGCACTTGGCCGCAGCAGTAGAGGAGAAAGGGCAACTCTGGCAGCAGCTTAGCTCTAGAAGCTCCCGCATGAGTTGGTTCAGCTGAGGGATTTCCACCTACAGAAAACCTGGTCATGTAATGGACCCAGAGAACACTTGAAGAGGTACCCACCCTGATGGTGGCAGCAGGGGTCATGGTGGAAGAGAACTAAATTCTCCAATAGGACAGGTGAAAGAAAGCCAGATTAGCCTGAGGCAAACTTCTGCCCAGAAGTCACCAAGTACACACCTCTCCTTTTCAGGGTTAAGTAAAGGTCCTCCCCAAATGTCCTTACTTACTTTTCGCGGCAGGGAGCAGACAAGGGCCATAAGCAGTGCAACCAGCCGCCTCTGTCCTGAAGAGCCATCCTGTAAATGAAGAACCTTCTCAAGCATGTCTTGCCTGCAATAGGCCTGTCTGCTCCAGACAACAGTGCTGAAGGACTCAAGTCCTCGGATTCTCCTCCTCTAGTCATCAAACCCTCACCTGGAATGGCTGGAATCTGCACGGGAAGTTGTTTTCAGGCAGAAAGGAGATGTCACCGTCCAGGAATAGGGGCACAATATGGGCCACACTCTGGGTAGCCAATCTGAGAGCAGAACACGAGATATGACCAAGGGCTCTGAAGAAAGAAGCTAGGCATCATTCTCACTCTAGACTCTGGTGATAAATCAGCAAATTGAATGAAGTCCTTATTCTCTTGGAATTGACTGAGAGACATCAAAATAATGCATATTTTAAAAATGCTGCATAGGTGATTATTAAGCTAAGAATCACTGGGCCATGGCTCACTTACCCCAGAGCCCCCAGCACCAAAAACTCCATTCTCTGCCAGCAAAACACAGAAAAAAGTAACTGTCTCCATGTTATTTGAAGGAGCTCAAGTGGCCAGTTTGTAGGGAGCTGGCTGTAAACCCAAAGGCCCCAGCTCTCTGGAGGGTCAATCCCACCACTTGCTACACAGGAGAAAGATGGGCAATTTATAGCCTCAGAAGCCCAACAGAGGTTCAGCTGTCAATCGCTTCCAACTCAATGACAACGAGTAAGCCTCCACATTTAAATTTAAGTAAAAGGACAGCTCAGAAAGTGGCTACCTACTGCTTCTTGCCAAAATGGGATCAGGCTGCACACGTTTTACTCACTCAGGGCTCAGGTGGGTGGTGGCGGTGCCAATGACAGACACCATGGCGGCCAAGACATCATCCTCCAACAGCACTTTTCTCAGAACGGATGGCTCCTCCTCTATAAAAACAATACAACACAACACACACCACTTTTTAAATCTGCGCTTAGTACTTCTGTCCTGAGAACAAGCAAGGGACTCATGTTTCTACATAAGAAGTCAAATCTGGGGCTACAGAGAGATGCCTGGAACGTTACGCACAGTCCTCAGTGGAAAATAAATGGGCAGCTGATAGGAATACTTTTAATAATCTTTTGGTAGCAAATAATTTTTTAACTGGGTGAACTTTTAATTTTTTTTTTTTACAAATACTTTGGAGAATCATGTGATGCTGCCCGCACTGGATGCAATCCTGGGCCGTAAAGTCTGCACACTCCTTTGAAACTGGTCCAGTGATGGCAGAACGTTTCATCTCACCTGAGTGTTTACTATGACTCCTGCATTATCTTGAAGCAACACCCCATCTTTTCTCTGGTATGATTTTTGTTGTATTACCACTGCTGGACATACCTTCTGTCTGAGCTCTGGTTTCCCTTTCTTGACAGTAGCCATAATAACAGGTGGTCTTTTAAAAGACTTAACTAACATGAACTTATCTTCATGGATTCCTGTCTATCCTTTACAACCCCAAATCTCTGTCCCTGAGTCGACTTAGGCTCATAGCGACCCTACAGGACAGCAGTTAGCCCACAGGGTCTCTGTGACAGTCAATCTTTATGGGAAGAGACTGCATCCTCCTCCTCCCATGAAGTGGCTGGTAGCTTTAACCTTCTGATCTGGTTAGCAGAGAGTGCTTAACCTACTGTGTTACCAGGTGGCTTTTCTCCCCACCCCATTTAAACAGAGAATTTATTATTTTGTTACTATCAATTAAAAACAATGAAAACCATATTTGCATCTCATCCTTGAGCAGGAGTGAGGCAAATCCTCTCTGTCATTCCAACTGCCCAGGCGCACATAGGGCTGCTCTCTCCTCATTTAGAGCAATGGTCACGTGGACACTTACTATGCTGCCCGACTCTCCATGCTCTCTTGTTTCATTCTTTCTGTCTGCCCTCTTTAGATATCTTTTTTTTTTAAAAAAAAATTTTTATTATTATTTTCTGTGTGTGTACTGTCAAACTGGATCTGACCGGTACAGGAGGAGATTGCCCCTTCTTCTCCAGCAGAGCATCCGTTGGATTCGAACCATGTACCTCCAGGATTGCAGTGCAGCTTCCCACCACTAGGCCACCAGGGCTCCCCTAGATACATCTTAAAAGTGAGGAAATGAGGAAACCAAGGCTCTCAAAAGCTAAATATCTGCATAAGTTAGCAAGTGGTAAAACTGAGGCTTAAGCTATCCAGGTCAGCCTGACTCTATAGTCTGTGAGCTAAAGTAATTTCATAGGACTTAAAAGAGTAAAAGAAAAAAGGTTTGTGATTTTTTTGAGTGTTACAGATTTTGGTTCCTACCACTGGCCAGGTTGACCACACTTCTGCAGTGAAATCTCACGTGGCTGACTAACTTGATGGCAAAGAATGCAGTATCAGTGCTACACAGAGGGTGGCAGTGCTGTTCAATACTAGTGGGAGGGAGAATTCCCAGAAGACACGTGTAAAGGGTTACCTGGCATGGACGCTTGCACAGCCAAAGCAAGCAGGCAGGGGACAGCTGTCTGATGGAAATACCAGCAGCTTGTAGGGTCCTGCTGGCATTTTTCTGCCACCTGCTGGAGGCTCTGACAGACAGCAATAACGTCACTGGATCCTGCCACCTTATTTCCTGTGTGGGGAGAAAGGCAGTGTTCCCTGTTAGGTTTGTTTAAAAGCACCTTCAGCTAGTTCAAATAAAGCAGTTGGCAAGAACAATTCAAGAAGAGTGACTAAAGAGCTAAGTTACATTATTCTCTTGTTTTCATCTGTTCAATTTTGGAGTTGAGATCTATTATTCTGTGCCAGGTCCTGGAACACAGCTATGCATACATTTTTTTATTTTCCACAACAATCCTAAAAGTATCACATTTCCCTCATTTTGGCGAGGAGGACATGAAGCTAAATTAAATGATCTGTGGGGTTTTTTCAGGATCAAAGTGCAAATTCAGAAACCAAACACAAATTATACTCTGAACCTACTGTTCTTTTTATTACGTTAAAGGCTGCTGGAACCACCACCGTCAACCTCTTGCACAAGGGCTGAGTGTCCAGGGAAGCAGGAAGCCTAGGCAGGAGGTGGGGGTCCAGGGTGATCACGTCTAGGCTGGCAGCACCAGCAGCTGCTTTAACTTTTGCCCTGGAGCAGTGACGCTCAAGCTGAAGGGAGGGGGTCTTTCTATGTTACTTGTGGATCCTGTTAACAATGGAGGTTCTGATTAGTGAGGGCCTGAGATGGTGCTCATGATGCTGACCCACGAGCCGTATTCTGAATGACAAGGCCTTAGAGTCATGCTTCCACATTAAAGTCACTCAGGCACTCCTACTCCTTCCTCAGAGACCAGTTCAAATAGATGGAGTGAAAGCCAAGCACCAGTATCATTAAAATGCTTCTTTTTCATGACTTTTATACGGATTTGGAGTTGACAAGGAATAGCCAGCTATTCCTGGATGGACTGTCGACTCCAAACCTGACTACTGCTCCCATTCAGCCTCGCTCCCTGCCTCGTCATTCACTGCTGGTGGTGAGTTACCTTTGTGTAGCTGGCAGAGATGCTGCAGCAGCAGAGGCAGGGTCTCCCGGACAATGCTGGGATGTGTGGATACAGCCGACAAGGCTTGCAGACTGAGCAGTTGTCGTGCACATGTGGTGGGTCCCTTACTGCTGTTCAAGTCTGACTCCTCTGAAAGCAACACACAAGGTCTCATTGAGCGTCAGTAGGCTTGGAACTCCCCAGAGTCAATGGGAGAAGTGGCCAGCGCAAGATCAGACATAACGTACCCACACGAAGCTCCTCAGCAAGCTTGGGTACTAGGTGGCTGCTGAAGGCCATAGGGTAGAGACTGGCGAGGACTCCTGATGCTTCCATTGCTGCCACCCTGCTGGGGGTACAGGGCAGATGACCATTAGCCTGTTATCCTGCCTAGACCTGCCATCAGGCAGACGCCAAGTGTGGGCTCCTGAGGCCACCTAGCTGAAAAGCAAGACCCGAAGTACCTATACCACTCAGTTAGGTATGACGTCTTAATGGTCAAAGAGGAAGAGGCATAAGAGAACAGTCCCACACTCCTCCAACTGGGTAGCAGTCAGTTAAACTGGGGCCCACCTCCCCTAAGGAGAGCAAAAAGTCAGAAGCAAGAACCCGGGTCTTTGCTGGTTCTCTTGTTGCCAGGTCATAGGTAGGGAAGAGCTTGCTCTATCCTGCTGTTTTAGACTCTCACCAACTCTGGGACTCCTCCAGGAAACTCAGTCTGTAGAGGTGACCCACTGCCAGCTCCAGGTCCTCAGGAGACAGGAGGTCTGTGGTTAAGTGGACACAGAAGGAACAAAAACCTCATTCTTCTTTCTTTGCAGCTAAAACACCCAACCTCTTAAAAATCCTAAAGCATGCAGAGTTGTTAGAGGAATCAAGCAATTTTTTGTGTGTTGTATTTTTATTCCATTGTTGTGTATTTTGTCCCCTGTCCCCCTGCAATGCATCCCTTATTCCTGACTGCTGTCATAAGAACCAGGGAATTAAAACTGCTTTTCACGTAAAACCGAAAATGGTAAGAGAGGAATCAGTACCTAAATCTTTGAATTTTCTCTAAGACATACCTGGCTGGGCACCCAAGACTGTAAGTGTACGGATGCCAACAAGTTGAAGCTGGGTGCTAGGATCTGCCAAGGTCATGAATACCAGTGAGCACAGTTGGTCCTTGAAGCTGCTCAGAAGCTTCTCATCTGGAGAGAGACAGATTCGAGTAAAACCCTTACATTCCAAAGCCTTGACTCAACAGTGATGCAAAGATAAACAGGGATAGATTTAAAAAGCTCTGGAAGCCTAGTGGAAAGAAGATGTGCTACAATCCCAGAGGCATGTGGTTTGAATCCACCAACTGCTTGGTCCACAGGAGGATAGGCGGTCTCTTTCCATGTGATTTACTGCCTCTGAAAACCTGGTGGAGAGTCAGCTATGAGATGGATCCAACTCAACTGTACACAACAACAACAATCCAGGTGGTTCAAATGATGGGCTGCTTTGATGGAGAAATATGGGCAGTTTTCTCCCATAAGGACTTATTGCTGCAAAAATCTGATGGAGGGTCACTAGAATCGAAATCACCTTGATGGCAGTGGTGTTAGTGGGCAGCCCAGCGAGTATCCAAGAGGCCCACTGGGGGAAAAGCAAATAAGTTTCACCCACTGAATGCTGTCTTGTGCTACCCCCTCAGAATAGAACCCCAGTTCTAAATACTGCCCTTGGCAACTCCTTGCCTTACTGTCATTTCGAGGACTATGGTGCTGACCAAGCCCTGTGTTACCACAATTGAAAGGTGGCCCTACCTTTGTCTTCATATCCCCATTTCTGTTGCAGCTTCAAAAACCCAAGCATCATTTCAAGGATTGTCCGCCGCTGGTTACTCTGTAATGTTTTAAGGGGTACTGGGGTCAAAAAAAGTAAAAAAAAAAGGAGCCCCTAGTGATTAAAGCACTTGGCTACCAACTAGAAGGCTCGTGGTTCTATCCTGCACAGCACTGCAAGCTCCAGGGAGAGCAATCAGGCAAGTTAAAGAAAAGAATTTAAAAACTGGAAAGTAGTACAATTAACTCAGTTCACAGGTGATATGATTCTATGTGCAAAATCCTAAAGAATCAACTAAAAACCCCATAAAACCACAGCCAAACCCTGTAAGAGCTCAGAAATAGTTAAGATGCAGGATGGAAAATGAACATACAAAACTAGTTGTACTTCTATATATAAGCAGTGAATAATCTGAAAAGCAAATTAAGAAAAGAATTTTATTATATGAGATAGAAAAAAATACTAAAGAAAAAATTAACCAAGAAGGTAAAATATACTGGTATACTGAAAACTATAAAGTAGCATTAAGAAATTAAAGACTTAAATAAGTAGGCCAGTAAGAAAAAGAGACTCCAGCACACACACCACCCACCCATTTCCCTAAAGATTCCTCCTCATACCTGACTGTGCTTGTGGAACTGTTCCAGCAGCAAAGGCAGGACGTTGCTGGTGATGTAGTCACAGGCTCGGGCAGATGCACCTGCGGCTGCCTGCAGCAGCTTGGCACTAGGCCATACCAGCTTCATGTCCGGTTCACAGAGATGGTGCCTGCAGTCTAGAGAGAAGCAAATCACAGACCTGGGAGTAGGCCAAATGTTGCTGAGCTCTGAGATTCACATTGGGATAATTAGTTAGCAGTTACTCCTCAGACTGTTTTCAATTCAAAGGAAGATTACAGCCACTAAAACACTTAGGATATGGAGGTTACATATGAAAGGTCCTTGAGCAATCTTCTCTCTTGTGCCCACCCCTCTATCTGGCTGTCACAGCTCCATTACCCTGTAAGATGTTGCTAAGGAAGGAGTCAAGGAGGTCCTCAGCATCAGCCCTCAGCACAGAACGAGACAAACACGCAGTCAGGGAGAGGAGGGCTGCCAGGCCCTCTGCCTCCACCCGCTCACTTGCCGTCTGGAACACCTGTCAGAGAGGATCCCATGGCTACTGAGGTGAGCCTGTACCAAGTAAATCCCCACCCGCACACTGCCTATTTTCGGGGGCTGGGGGGCCTTTCCAAAGCACAGCAATGGAAATAAACTCCTTAGTGAGTGCTCCTCAACTAGTGTACTCTCACCAAATCCCGAGTCCCACTAGGACTGATATGTAAGCTTTTTGAGGACCAGATGCCAATTCTGAGCAGTAGCTAATGAAGATCCTCTATTTGAGGGCCCCCCTCCCCCCAGCACGGCAGCTTAGCCCATGCTTCTTCAGGGAAGGGCAGGAAATGGGCATTGTACAATGATGATCCAGTGCTAGCACTAGGCAGCTGACCCTCATATAGGGACTCTCTGTCATTCAACTGGAAGAAAGCCCCCCTTTCTTGGCCCTAGGGGCAACCAAGGTAATAGGACATGTTGTATTATTTCCTCTCACCCCTGACAGCCAGAAGCCAACAGTAGTGAGTTTATCTAAATAACACTTACCTCTCTGCGTATAGAAGACCAAAGGCTGGGGAGGAAATCCTTCAGTTCCTTCTGCCCATACACAGAACAACAAGCATTCTACCAAGGAAACCACATATATCAGCTATCACACTCAGATCCCGAAGGAGATGCAGGCCCCACAGATAATTACACCTGAGGGACCCTGGTTCTCAGTAGAAAAGCTAGCAGTTATTTCATACAGGCCTATCCAAGAGACAGGCAACTAGGAGCTCACTTGACTGGTGAAGAAGTTTAAAGTGGGAGCCTCGGCCAGCCTTAGTCTGTACCCCAGTTATTGAGGGACGAGACAATATGCAACGGAGAACTTTAGCTGATATACAGATCCAGATCCCAAGCAGCCATCTTTTCAGATGTATCAGATTGCCCCCTGGGTCATTAACCCTTAGTGTGCCTGACTTGCTTAGAGGCAGCTGGACCCAGGGAGGAGAAAAATCACTCACTAGAGTCTGCAGAGAATCCAGCTTGGCACTCAGCATCTCAGAATCCACTTTCTCTATCAGAAGGGGCAACAGGAACTGTCAGAGAGAAGGAAAAAGTTCAGCCTAGGATATGTAGCATCTCAGTCACCAGTAGTCACTGTCACCAGTTCTCGGGGATCTGAGATCAAAGAATTACATTACAGTCTGAAGTTATGACTGAAAGGAAGCCTTTCTGTCAATCTGTGACCAGACTCTATGTTAAGAGAAAAATGTCCTAGTTTGCAAAGCTATAGGATTTCCAAAGACAGCATAACATAGGGTTTGGACTATTTTAAAGGAAAGATTGTAAAGTTTGCAGCTTTGACAGTCTGATAACCACGAGCCTGAAGATACTTGTAGGAGCATTACTCTCTAAAATGCACATAAGATCTTTCTTTGTTTCTCTCCACACTTTCATTGTTGGTTGGTTTTCTTGTTTTTGTTTCCTCCTTCAGAGCTATTCATGAGCTAAGGTTATATATACCCTAACTTTGGTAACCCACCTCAGCAAATCGAGGTGTTGAAGCCAGAACAGCCCGAAGACTCAGGATCAGATCTTCTCTCTGGATACCATGGGGATCATTAGGTGGCTAGAAAAGGGAGGAAAGGTGGGGGTTTGTATAAATCATCTTCACACTTGGACAAAAGTGTCAACCTGACCTCCTGAGAACAGGGTCATGCTTACAACCACTCTGGCAGAGTAGCATGATGTGAAGCCCCGGCAAGAAGATGCACTTGCTCTTGTGTGTTCCTTGGGGACTTTCTCTTTATAGCCTGACTTTTCTATTTGATTACACTGTGCATATCTTAAGCTCAGAAATGAGCACTCTTAGCCTTTTGGGATACTGCTTTCTGTTCCCTTCTCTTACTCTCCAATGACTACATATTAGTTTCTACTGTTTCACTGTAAAGCACGCAAACTTTTAAAAAATGAGATCTTTTGTATACAATATTTACAAAGTATTTCTTCCACTAACATGGCATCATTTTCCAATGGTATTAATGTATTCTTTCTTAAATTAGTCTTCCTTAAATTTCTTAACTTAAATTCGTTTTAATATTTCATTGTGGGTGAGGCACAATTTATTAACTAACGCAATTTCGTTGTGCATCCCTATTTTTCACCCTTATAAAAGTTGCAATTCTGGCAACAAATGTTCCTTTTAAATCACAAGGATTTCTAGAAAAATCTAAGGTCCAAAATGATAAAAAAGAACTATGTGTTTTTATATCAAGGTGGCAGACTGAAAACATGCATTAGGTTCTTCCCTTTTGGGAATCCCACTAAAAATAAGTCGAAGGTGATTTGTGTTGTTTTTGTTAGGTGGGTTTTTTTTAAAAAAAGATTTTATATTGGTTTGCTTAAAAAGTTCTTAGACATTGTGTTTCACACTATCCTTCATTCACACTGCGTTTCATACAATCATTCCTATTACGTTTTGTATTAAAGATGCAAAGCTAAAAGGTGAAAGGAATAGGAGAAAATTATTAGGAACATTTCAGAAGCTGGAAAGCAAATGAGTAAGAAGAAAATTCTTAATAGACTCAACGTAACAGAATCCTTCATAGGCTGGGGAAAGCTGAGTAACTCATATTTATGGCATAATCCTCAAAAGACTTAAGGACTAGCCATCCTAGGTACCTATGGACTGACAATGAAGCTGAGGAAGCTTCCCTTTCATCTGCTCCCTAACTGCAGCAGAATCTAGAGGTTAATTCTCTAGAGGCCTCGAGTTTTAGAAATGCAGGTGTCGTCAAGGACTTCCAGAGAGCAGGGAGCAGAGCGAGAGCCACATTCCTTTTGCCCAAGCTTGCTGGAGGGCTGAAGGAGAGACACCATAACTGGCAGGACTAAACTTTGTAACCTGAAAAGCCGAGAAGCTGAAGGATTGAAGGGCCTGTGCGCACACCTGAGAAGTTGTCCTGACTTAAGAATTTTGTCCTGTTTCCAAGCTGAATTGTAACCTGTTAACTTCTCTAATAAACTTCATGATCTTGAGTATGGGTCTGTGACTTCTATGAGGTCACTGCAGTGAATTAGTGGGCCTGGCACTAGAGCAGACAGAGGCCTGGGAGGGATGGTTGGTGTTAGGATTGACAGAAGTAGGTGAGGGAGCATGGGAGCTATGAATGACCTAATGGGAAATGGTTCTGTGTGTGGATGTTGGAGATGAGGACTGTTCCCCCACTATGGAGTTAGGAGAGGTCAGACTTGGCTGCTCTTCCACGGCTCAAGCTCTTTTTACAGTGACTTAAGTATTCTGATAAATGAAAGCAACAAAAGAACTAGTTTATAGTCTTTAGTGTTTTATAATCCCAGAAAAATTGAATTTTCAGAGCTCAAATGCTCCTTTATTTATTACTAAAATACAAACCCATGAGGCAGATAGGACATCTGCTTTGTTCACCTTTGAATTCTCACTGCCTAGAATAAGGCCTATCACATATTAGGCCCTCAAAAACATTTGAATAAGATGCTACTTACAGGGGTAAAATCAATAGGAAAATAACAGGATGTAACTTCAAATAACTCTTCCACAAAAGGTCCTAAAAGAGACAAAAATGGAAATAGATTATAAAAACAATCATTTGAGAGGCCCCAACTTCAAACTCACAATTACCAGAACGTACCAAGACTATAGTCTCTGGAGATGAGGTCATGGACAATGCTGAAGGCCACCAGAAGATTACGGGGATCCTTTTCCCCATCCATAACCTGGATGAAGCCAAATGTGAAGTCAGCTCCCAGGCTTTTCAGTTCTGAGAAGAAAACAGAGTAGTCAATGTCCCACATGATAGAAAGCTGGGCTCTTGTATTTTCCCTCTATGATACACAAAAACAACAACACTGCCTCCTGGAGTAGAGCAGGTCCTTTTGTCTTCTGATGCCAGGAAGCCTCCTCTCATTCATTTATAGCCTTGCAAACAAAATGGGGGTGTGGGGGTGTCTTCATGATGGGGGTGTCACCATGATGGGGGTCACCATGAGGGAGGGTCATTATGATGGACGGTCACCATGACAGAGGATCACCAGGATGACCTTCCAGTGTGTTTGCAAGTGTTGGCAGTGATGGAGTGAGCGATGCCTGCAGCACTCAGTAAAGAGGCAGATACTGCTATGCACATTGCTACAGAGGCAAGGGTTTAAATTTTCAGATTAAACTCCACCCTGTCTTTAAACCACAGAGGAATGAGTGGAGTGGCCTCTTAAGTTTCCCTTTATCATTCTGAGTACTGCCTCTTTCAAATAATTATCAAGATTAATAGTTCACTAACAGAAGAAAAAAGTAGAATGTGTTCATTTTTCAGATTTTCCCTAAGAATCCTGTATTTTACCTTCTTCCCGCGTCTGCATAAAGTTGGTGATGATATTGTAGACTGTGTGTCGGTCCACCTGAGGCAGGGACTTTGAGAGAAAGGAAGTAAAGAAGTGTTAAAAAAATACTTTAAATGACCCTCACCTCTGTGTATCCCCAACATGATTTTCCCAATAAAATAAAAAAAAGGAAAAAAAAATACTTTAAATGATATAACAACTGTGGCTTCATAATCCGTAAGTGGACAGTGTTCTTTACACCAGAATAAGATCAATCTAAGAGGAACTTCAGAGAAAGGATTCAGATACTGGCCTAGCTGTACAGCAGTGGGTCCATAACCAAAACCTGTCTGTTGTATACTTTCTTTAAGGGAGAAAGACTAAGATCCAATATAATGGCATGTATCGCTCTCCTCATAAAGTAGCAAGGACTAGCCAAAGCAGTTAAAAGCCCTCCTAGAGTTTAAAACTTTGAAGGAAAGCACTCTTTTATTGCTCTCTGATTCTATTAATGCCAAGGGAAGGAGGTGGAGGAAAACCCAGTGTCTGTTCCACTCACCTGTACATGTACCTCCTGGAAGATGGCTTTCAGGACAGAGACAGCCAGCCCTGGAGGCAAAGCCACACACAGGCTCTGTGGAAAAAGATGTGATTTGTAAACAAAGGAATTTTATGGCACAGCCTCCAAGATACAATTCTGTATCAGGCATAGTGAGTTACAAAGGGGCACACAAAACCCTGGTTCAGGAAGATGTGCTGAAGAGTGAGAAACTTGGTTATATTTCTCTAGCTGGTTAGGTTCTGTTGTTGTTACTGCTGTGTGCCTCTGAGCCAGAACTGACCCATAGCTGACCTTCCAGTGGGTTTTCAGAGGCAGTAAACTGAATGGGAGGACACTGCCCATCCTTCTTCTTTGGAGCAGATGGCAGATTTGAACTGTGTGCCTTACCACTAGGTCACCAGAGCTCTCTGTGGCTCCTTTTCAACTGACTCTGAATTCCACCTCCTACCACAACCCACCCTCAAATACTTTTACTCTGAGTGAAAACAAGGTGGAGAAGGTTGATACTAAATTAGTCCTATTTGGGTGAATCTGCCTCTCAGTACCTGAACTTTACTGCTAAACATCAAGGAGAGAATTCACTGGACAAGGGTTTCTGTGAACATGGTTTTATATAATGAAGAGAACTCACAAGTGCCCTCAGACCGTGAAGGACGGATGGGATCACAAGATGATGGTCCTTCAGCCGGTTCTCATAGAACAGGATCAGGTGCACCACTACACAAACCAAAGGCATTCATTAATTCACACAGGCCAGGGGAGGGCCTGGCAGCATTATGCCTTCCCTAAAGAGTTTCCCTTTAATTATGAGACATGTCCCATGTCTGTCTGCTTCTCTCCCGTTTGTGGTTGCTTTGATTTGCTCAGTTCGGAAAAGAACAGTTCTTATATTCTTTTCTTACACAGGTTTATAATTAAACCAATTCTGGACTACCCAGAACTGTCTTTTTATAAAATATAGATAAGCAAAATTTTTCTTAAAGTGTTAGGCAGTCAATATTTTAGGTTTGTAGAACATATGGTCTCTGTCACAATTCAACAACTACTGAACTCTTTAACATAGAAGCAATTGCAGTTAATAACTAAATGAATAAATGAATATGACAATAAAACTTTATAGAAACAGGCTTACTCATTTTGTAAAAGGTGATATATTTAAGGACTTCAAAGAATTTTGATATTTGGTTACTTCTTCTTCATCTAAGAAATAATACTTTTTTTTTTTTACAGAGAAGGGAAAACATGCTCTTTAAAAACACACCCATCTAAGGTTGTATTTGAAAACCTTGAGTCTTTTATGTTAATTCTAATCATGTTGGCCATACATGCCATCAATGAAGAATGAAGACCTTGAGCTAGCTGGTCCCAGAGATCTTGCCCCCTCTTCTCCTGTCTCCCTACAAAGCTGGCTTGAGTAGACTTGGGAAGCCTTGGCTCAGTTACTGAGGAGGACACCCATTACTAAGATGCCAGTACCTTCTTTTTCCAGCAGCAAGGAGTGACACTGGTGCAGCACCTGTGACAAAAGCTGGATTCCTCGTGCCCGAGTTCGGGGCTCTGGATTTTCTAGAGAAGACCTAAAGAAAAGTAGGATAGAGTCCACCATTAACCAGCTCAAATGTTTGAAAGAGTAAATGTTTTACATTTGTCACACTCATCCCCTGGGCATGGAAGTCTGGTATTACTGGAATAAAAACAGCCCCAGAAGATGCTTCTGTATAGTAGCTAGATTTACAGATACCAGCAAGGACAGATATCTAACATATGGACCCACAGACTGACCTGGCACCATCAAAGGCACATGAGATACTGCAGCTAACAGAGGGTCCTGGCTGCAGGCACATTGAGCATGGCACCTAATGGGCCTTGGGCATGAATGATGGGTACCTTCCTCTGAATCAGAGCTTAGCACCTACCCACAGGGCTTGAGAGATTACTTGCATTTTCTTCCAAAACAAGAGAATAAATATATGTTTGAAAATTACAGCTAAGAAAAAGGTACTGAGCACAAGCACCAAGGCCCAGGACAACAATACAGTGTAACAGGGGGGTTACAAAGTACTTGTCAGAATACAGGTTATAACAATTTGGGGTTATTGATCTGGGAAAAGCTGGACTGAAGCAACATAGAGATGATTTATCTACAATACAGGTCCAGAGAGATTCTATTTCCACATGCTGGAAGAAGTCTATGGAGAAACATGGAGAAAGAGGATGATTTCTGGAGGAAAGCTGACCATTTTGAGTTAAGCTGTAAAGATAAGAGGGTGTGTGTGTGTGTGTGTGTGTGTGTGTGTGTGTGTGTGTGTGTGTGTGTGTGAAATTCACTAGAGGTAGGAGAAAGATGGGTGATTTTTTCCACACAATTTACAACCTCTGAAAACCTACTGGGGGGAGAGCTAACAGTTGGTCCCACAATGAGTTTGAGGAGTTGTTTTAGGGTGGTTTTTTAAAAATTATTATCAGTTACTCATTGCTCTTGAATTGGAGTAGGGTAACAGGACAAAAATAGGATAATTTTTGATAAGATCTGCAGGGCAGGAATGTGTGCAAAGGTCTCTGCCCACAAAGAAAAAAGTGTTTTCAGAACATTTACAAAATGTACTGAAGTATATCAATGTCCATATTTGTATTCCAGCAGCATTACGTGGAACTGACAAAAAGTAGAAACAACTTGAAGCCTATGAAGGAACGAATGGCAAACAAAACGTGATATATACCCATACAATGGAGTATTATTTGGCAATAAAAAGAAATTAAGTATTAATATATGCTATGCTGTTGTCGTTATCCACTACTGAGTTGGAATCAACTCACAGTTGGCCCTCCAGCAGGTTTTCAGAGATAATCAATCACATCGGAGTTGACTGCCCATCTTTCTCCCACAGAGCAACTGGTGGATTCAAACCATTTGCTTTTGGGTTGGCAGTATAACTCCTTATCACTCAGCCACCAGAACTTCCTAAATATCTGTTCTAATATGTATAAACCTTGAAAATATAATGATAAACGACCAAAGGCAGACACAAAAGCCACATACTATGTTTCCATTTATACAAAATGTTTACAATAGGCAAATGGATAGAGACAAGACACAAATTAGTGGTTGCCAGAGGCTGAGGGAGGGGGAAATGGGTGTGATTGCTAATGAGTATGACAATTGTTTTCTGGAATATGAAAATGTCATAAAAGTCATTATGATGGTACAATATACAATAATATACTAATATACTAAGTCACTGACTTATACATTTTCACACATTAATTTTACATGATGAGAATTATATCTTCTCTAAAGATATTATTAATTATATCTTCTCTAAAGATATTATATTTTAAATGAACTTATTAGGCCAACTCAGAAAAATTCATTGTGGCTAAGTGGGAACCAATTTCATAGCAGACCCTACAATGGGTTTCTGGAGACTGTAAATTACATGAAAAGAGACTGCCCATCTTTTTCCTGTTGGCAGAATCAAACTGCCAGTCAAACCTTTGGGTTAGTAGTACAACTCCCTATGGACTAGAATTAATATTGTAAAACAAAATGTCTATGAAAGGTAGAATGGAAAACTAATTTGCTTTGTAAACTTTCACTTAAATTACAATTTAAAAAAAAAAAGAGGAGTCAAAAAATGAAGCCAGGCTTCAGCAGTAAGAGTAGAGTCCAATGCTAGGTTTCATGGGAGAATGCGTTATATAGTGACTTAGCTTTCTGCTCAAATTTCTAGTTGTCTCTGTTTCAGACGACATACTTGCTGACAGTTAATAATCTTGCTAATAAGTGACCTGTCAATTTAAATAGTCTGCCAAGAGTGAAGTGCGAGGAGAGCAGGTAGTATAGCAGACTATAATCACAAATTTCTTCTAGTGCTTGGAACATCTGGTCACCTGGCTAGTTACAACACTGGCCTTTTTTAGTGGGATTCTGGTGAAGGGTCATCACCTGGTAGCTCAATCCCCAGGGCCAGCTCCACAGCTTCTAGGAGTCAGGCTGACACAAACCTCATGGGGCTGGGTAGGCCTCAAGAAGCCCAGGTGGAATCACAGGTCTAACTAAATAAAAGCTGATGGCCTTAACCACCCACCTGACCCCAAACCCGTGTACAGAGCCAAGAGCTGATATGGCGTCCATGTTTTGTGCTCCCATCACTTCCTTAGCAGCTGCATAACCTTTTCAGAGAGCAGGGGCAAGGCTGGAGGAGAGCACTGTAAGGCAGAGGCTCTTACCCAAGGGCTTCCACCACTTGCAACACTGTATAGCTGCCAGATTTCACATCTAGAGGAGACAAAAGAGAGAAATAAGAAATAAGGGGTGGGGGAAGCTATCACAGGGTTACATGACTTTAATCATGTTTCCTATCTATCTGAGGCTTTGTACCATGGGGTCACCACGACTGCCAAAAGCCCCTACTACACATTATTATTTTCACACAAGTATAAAAATGGAAAAAGAAGCAGATACATTATTTTTTAAATGATATGACTGTGTATCTGGAAAATTCAAGTGAAATAAAAAAATTACAACAAACAATAAAATGTTTTGTTAAGGTGGCTAGCGACTGAATCAGTATTTGAAAATTTAAATTCCATATGGTCCATGGAAGAAAAGATCCATAAAGACCACAGGCTAGAAAACCTGTGTGCAGTTCTACTCTGTCCTAAAGATGATATTAATAAATTCAGGATTATTCAAACATGTCAGTATAGTTGTAAAACTGACATAAATTGTCTCTAGCTTGCAAAACTGGTTGTTTTGCCCTAGAATTCTATTTTTCTTTCTTTAGTCATATAAAGTACCTTAAACTGTTTCCCAAGAAAGGAAATACATCTTTCCTGGATTAATATTGACCTTTTTAAAGTGATTTGTCCTCAACTATATGTAATTCTTTTCTGGATTAGCATTTATCTCTTTGGAGATGTTTTTCTCAGTTGTATATAACTGGATTAGCATTTATCTCTTTGAAGATGTTTTTCTCAGTCATAAGTAAATTATACCACAAGCTGTTTGTTTACTAGTAACTAACATCTTACCCAAGTATACAAGCCAATGGCCACTCTTAGACACGAAGGCAGGTTGTTTTTTTTTTAATTTGAGCACAGTTTAAATTCATTGGTTTGGCATCATATATAGATTACATAGCATATTTGCAACGAAGGCAGTTTTTGAGAAGATCCTCTCTGCTTTCCCAGATCTGCCATAAAGTGTTTTGGATATTGCAATACGTCTGTCTTATTGGCAAATGACTACAGAAAGAACCCTTTTGCATCGAGTAACACAGGATCACTGTGTTAGAACTGACCAGATATCAATCCAAATGCTGTGCGTCTGGTGGTTTGACTCCACCAGTGGATCTGCAGGAGAAATATGGACAAATCTCCTCTTGTGCGATTTAGTCTCAGAAATCTGCTAGAGCGTCAGCTATGAGTCAGTTTTGACTCAGAGGGACCCTACGTTCAACAGAATGAAACACTGCCCACCATGTGCCAGGCTCTCAATCTTCGCTATGTTTGACCCCACTGCTGTAGTTCTTGTGCCAATCCATTCTGTTGGGGTCTTCCTTTCTGTAAACGACCCTCACTTTTACCAAACATGATGTCCTTCTCCAGGGATTGTTCCTTCTTGATAACATGTTCAAAGTCTGTGAGAGCAAGGCCTATCATCCTCTCTTTTAAGAAGCATTCTTGGCTGTATGTCTTGTAAGATTTGTTTATTCTTTTGGAAGTCTATGGAATATTTCATATTCTTCACCAATAACCTAATTCAAAGGTATCAATTCTTCTTTAAGCATTCTTATTTGTCCAGCTTCTGTACGCATATGAGGCGAATGAAAATACTGTGGTTTGGGTCAGGCACAACTTAGTCCCTAAAGAGATTTTTTAAAAAATATGTATTTAAAAACCAACCTAACAAAACAAAAACAAAAGCCAAAGCAAAAAGCTAATTTAAAGAGGTCCTTTGCAGCAGATTTCCCCAATGTAATGATGCGTCATTTATTTCCTGGCCAGTGCATCCCTAGGTGTCAACTGTTGATCCAAGTAAAATTACAAACTTGACATTTTAAATCTTTCTCTGTTTATCATGATATGGCTTTATGGTCTAGTTGTGAGGGGGTTTGTTTATGGGAAGCTGTAATCCTCAATCTTCATCAACAAATGCTTCAAGCCCTTGACACTTTCAGCAAGTAAGACTGTGTCATTTGCAAGTTGCAAACTGTTGGTTAGTCTTCTAATGGTGATGTGACATTTTTCATCAAATAGTTCAGCTTCTTAGATTATCTGTGTAGCTTACAGTCTAAGTAAGCATGGTAAAAGGACGCAACCCTCACATCCACCTTTCCTGATTTCATACCATGCAGTATTCCACTGTCTTGTTCAGTGAATGCATGAGCACAATCACATGTTCTGGAATTCCCACTCTTCATCATGTCAGTTATAATCTGTTATGATCCACACAGCTGAATGCTTGCAATCAATAAAACACAGGTAAACATCTTACTGATACTGTTTCCAGCCTAGATCCATCTGCTGTCAGCAATGATATCCCTTGTTTCACGTCCTCTTCTGAATCTAGTTTGACTGTTCACTGTTAATGTACTGCTGCTGCAATCACATCTACTCAAATGCAAACTCAGTGCCATCAAGTCAGAAATGACTCAGCCAACCTTCTAGAAGGTTTTCAGAGGCTGTAAATGGCACAGAAGGAGGCTGCTCCCTCAGAGCAGCTGGTATATTCACACCACTTGCCTCTGAGTTGGCAACACAACTCCTGAACCACAGATCACCAGAACGCTCTGCCATCTCTACAAGAGTTGCTATTTTCCCTGTTTCATACTTTTCTTTGGAAGTGTCACCCAAACCAGCTAATATTTAAGAGAGAGGAAAAGATTAAGCCCTACTTCTTGTTGTTAAGTGTAGTTGAGTCGAGCATGACCCATAGCGACCTATGAACAACAGATCTGAACCCTGTTCTACCTTGTGCCGTCCTCACACTTCCTGACACACTAGAGCTCATTATGGTAGTTACTGTGCTAATCCACCTGGTTAAGGGTCTTCCTCTCCTTCGCTGCCCTTCTGCCCTTCTAAGCATCACATCTCTCTCAAAGGAATAATCACTCCTAGCAACATGCCCAATCATCTTCAACTTCAAAGAGCACTCTGGCTGCACCCTTTCCAAGACGTATCTGTTTGTTCTTTTGGCTGTTCATGGGATGTCCAATACTCTTCTCTAACACCACAGCTCAAAGGTATCTTCTTCTGTCATCCTTATTCACTGCCCAGCTCTCAGATGCATAACAAATGATTGGAAAGAACATGGCCTAAATCAGATGCATCTTAGTCCTCAAAAAGACATCATTACTCCTGAGTAACTTGGAGAGGTCCCTAATCGTTGACTTTCTCAGTACAATGAGTCTCCCGATTTCCTGAGTGCTAATACCAAAGGTGTTGACTGTGGATTCAAGCAAGATGAAGTTGATGACAGTTTAAATCTTTTATCCATCTATGCTGCCTATCAGTCTAGTGGTAAGAATTTTTGTTTACTGACATTGATATGCCATACATACTGAAGGCTGTATTCTTTGATTTTCTGCAACAAGTACTTCAAATCCTCCTCACTTTCAGCAAACAGTTGTGTCATCTGCATACTACAGGTTATTGATGCCACATTCTTCTTAATAGAGTTCAGCTTCTCGAAGAAGAGGAGAAAGGAAAAAAAATGAAATGGATGTTAGAAGAGACTGAAAATTGCACTAAAGTGTCGAGAAGCCAAAACAAAGGGAAGAGAAATGGAATCATAGCCGACCCTTCAGCACATTTTCAGAGGCAGTAAATTGCATGGGAGGAGCCTGCCCATCTTCTTCCTGTGCGGCATTTGGTGGATTCCCACCGGCTGTCTTTGGGCTGGCAGCTCAACTCTTTACCCACTAGGCCACCAGAGCTCTCCAACCTCTGTGTGGAAAGCCAAATTTCACACTAAAAATTTTATTAAACCAAATGCTGTATCAGGATATGAGGGAGGCACAGATACAAGCTGGAATTCACCGCTGAAGCATCAAGGCAGACCTTAGGTGTTCACATGAGGTAAGCACTAAGACAGACCTTAAGCCTTTACACAATTCTTGTATTGTATTTGCTAACCCCTCCCTCCTGAGTCAAGCGTAAGGTTTTCAATAGAAAGAGCATAACTTGATTTGCATAGATTCTCCCTGGCAATTTTCAATAAAGGCACAGGGAAGCTGGGTTTGGTGTTTTAGTTGTCTGAATTGCTCTCCCCCTGCTCTACCTGTTTTCTTAAAGAGTCTTGGTGTTCTGTCTTGTTTTTTATTCCTTATCCTCAGTAGACAACACTGCACACACAGAAACATCTACTGTTTTTGTATCTATTCACACAGGTATATTAAACTTAACATAAACTCAAAGTAAATGTCTCCAAGTCCAATCCAGCACTACAGGGTTCATTCTGGCCTTCTTCCCTTGCTTATTTGTAACTTTCTTCTCAGTGAGAAATATGGTTCTCATTATCTAGTATTTAGTATTTGCTCAACCTTAGAACAACAAAGAAAAAAAAAAAGAAAAAAAAAAAAGAACAACAAAGAATTGTTAAAGTACCCTGAGAACCACAAATTTACAAGCAAAGTTTTGTCTTTAGTTTTCAAAGTTACTTAAGTAAGCTCCTTTCCTGCAGTCCTTTAGTAAGAATGTTACACAGTAATCACACAGCAAAATTCACTTGTCACAGTGTACATTCCATTTTAGGACAGAAGGAATCTTCTGTGTATTCTTTTCTATCTTTCAAATGCTGTATTATATGGATATATTGGCTATTTTTTAAAATACAAGTTTAGTAGTACAACAGTAACTTACATAGATCTAACAAATTTCTGAGGTCTATTTCCAAGGGAGAAAGAAAAAGTAAAAGGTTAATAACTTTCCTAAGAGTTTGGTTAGTACAGAGGATATGTTCTTGCAAAATGAAGGAATTACTTTCAGGAGCCTACTGGAGATTTCCCACCTATCTAATTTCTAAATGCAGGACTTAATTAACTAGTCAGCACTAGCCAACACAGGATTTAGGCTAAAGTGAAAAAGAGGCTTGAGAAACCTCTTAAATCTCTGGTTCCTATTAGCTCTGTGCTCTCCGAGCAGCAGCTGTGAGCTGGGCAGATGCTCACTCTGGTACTAGAGTCGGGAGAACTCCAATCAGGCTGAGGAGAGCTCTAGACAGGATTCACTGCTCGTGACTGGCACCAATTTAGACATCAGGCACTCTTGGCCTTG